TTTTTTTTTTTTTTTTTTTTTTTTTTTTTTTTTTTTTTTTTTTTTTTTTTTTTTCGACTTTCGCCAAGCTTGTGCCAAGTGCCTGTAGGTTGTACTGGATATGTTAAATTTTTTTTTTTTAACACGTATTGAAAATTTCTACGTATATATGCGAGATGAGTTGGGAATGAAAATGAAATTCAGAGACAAACTGTCATGCGAACTGAGGCTTATTTGAGCGTATAGTAGAGTCATACGTCAGCTACATATATATATATATAGATACGATCTCACCTAGAGATTAGGAGTAAGCTTCAACTCCCTCCACTGCAATATATGGATTTTTGCAAATTTCTAGTGTAGGGGACACGGTGCACACGTGTCTAATACACAATACACGAGGATATTTATCACTATACTTTCAAGTTCAGGCGATAGCAACGGGTAATAAATAACAAAAATCTTGCTTGTACTTTCATGTTTTCGCGTAACATCTCTCCGAGGCACATCATAATTTGATAGGATTTTTTAAAATGTTTAAATGATTCGATGGACTGTAGATTTTGAAAAAGCCAGTAATTGAAACGCAATAAAAACAACCAGCTAAATCCGTTTCTTTTTTCTGTAAGTAAATACGTTACCAACGATAAAAGTCATTCTCTCCGATGGAACCGGCGTATAGATAATATTTTTAAATACTTGATTCCTAAATCTGCCGATTCCCCACACGGATGATATTTCCAATGGTGCTCGGCTGTTCAATGGATTACCGGTTAATTGAAATAATATAGTTAAGGTCATTCGGCATCTCTGATTTGTCCATTGTAACGATTAGAAACAAAGAAAGGAAAATTCAATCAATTGACACATTGTAATGGCTCTGTATCGATCATCACTTGCTTTAGACACCTTATGGACTTATTTATTTCAGAAAGCAATTGGAATGTAAGGACTGTCACCGGTTACATATAGTTTCTGCCAATTGTAATGCAGTACAAGAAAGAACCCTTCATTAATTTGTTCTAAACAGTTGTTACGTAACAATAAAGTTATTCATGAAATGAAATTATTTGTATTCATGGAATGGCACCCATGCAAATGTACAATAATCATTTTTATTCCTACAAATGATTCCAACAACATTTTCAGTAACCTTTAGGTTTCCAATAACTTTTAATTAATGCAAGTAATTTTGTTTATCTTTCTATCTTTATTTTCTCCTAAAATCTTCACATCGTATTTTTTTTCTGATTCCCCCCATCAGCGAGGGGTCATAAACTGCAAGTTTTACAAACGCGCAAGCGCGAACTTTAAAAAAGGCGAGAAGGTACACGTACACCTTCCCAGGAAAAAAAATCTAGGAGCTCGTCTCGATTCGACAGTCTACTGACGCGTTTCATAACTTTTTTACGCGTGTGTGACGTACCAATGTTTTTTACATTTAAAATGTTGGGGAAAGTGACAAAAATCATTTACTAATCAGCAATAAGGTGAAAATTGAAAAAAAAAAAAATGGCAAAATTTGTAGCGAGCATAAAGGCAATAATAACGCGTCTCGTTTTCGCGGCACACGGTTTCGTAGCTATATGGCAAGTGACGAAATTCAAACGCAATCCAATTTATTGGTACCTCAGTTGTCCAATAATACTACTGTTTTTCGAAGGAATTTTCACGCTCACCATCAAAGAAAATCAAGAATGGAAGTGGTAAGTTATTTGGAATATTGTATACCTCGATTGAAATGTACAGCGTGACAATGAACGTATCTAGTGATTTCCCATGTTTAACAATTATTCGTAAAAAACATCATCTCCCGTGACCTTGAAAACTCGATGAGTGGAAAAAAAAAAAAAAAAGAAAAAATTCACGGTCGTTGCAATCCATAAAACTAACATGTGTCTAACGAAGCATCGGGGAACTCGAGAATAAGGGCGGGCGACCCCTTGCTACCCGCTCTCTCAGGCCTAACAGCCGGAAATTGTGTTGGCCCCCGGCGGAAAGCGTCGACTCCCCCTTTTTTCTTGTGGATATCGTGTGTCAATGTTGCGGAAAGGATGACGATGCGCCACGAAAAACGGATAGCTCTCTGGCCTAATTTACACCGAACCTGCCCACCACTCCTTTGGAAACACACGTGACCTCTTTTTTTTTTTTCTTTTTTTTTTTCACCTCCCAAGTGGGTCACAACACACCCATGATATATTCTTACGTACAATCGAGACTCGTTCCCGTACGTAAGTTTGTCAACATAAAAGCCAATCAATCGACAGGTTTTGCCCGTCGGTCTTTCTGTACCTGGGCAGCGTCGTGCCGGCCATTTGGCTCTTGGAGTTGGACAAGGTCGACAGGAGAATGAGAAACTTCGGCTCGAGCGTCATCTTCGACGACACGTTCGACCTGACGAACGTCGAGGACTTGAAGCAGCTCCAGAAAACTCTGGGGGTAAGCAATAAAATAACGATTGTACATCAGCCAAACAAGTATAAATCTTGCCAATCGATCTCCAGACCAACATCCGTCTGCCAGACATCCAAATGTCGACCGAGATGTGGGTGACCCTGATTGAGCAGTTCCTCATGCTGATCCTCATAGTGGGCCGGTGGATGCTACCAAAGGGCGAGCTGACGCGCGACCAACTGAGCCAACTGCTCCTCGTGTACATAGGCACGGCGGCCGACATAATCGAGTTCTTCGACTCGTTCAAGGAGGACAGGGTCGCGCGGGAGCCCATCCTCGTTTACCTGACCCTGGGCATGTGGTCGTGGTCCCTCATGCAGTTCACCGTCGTGCTCACCGCCACGAAATCGCGAAAGTCGCGGCTGTCCTCGGGATCGGCCCTACGGAAGAAGACCACCAGAGGAACCAACTGCTGCAACATCGACGTCTGGGCCATCGCCATAAACATGCTGCTCCAGGTACTACGCGAACCGGTAAAACCCACGTATATAACTGCATCTCTATCCTCTGTTCGCAGGACGCCCCGTTCCTCATATTCCGGCTGATACTGATAATCCACTTTAAAATCGTGAGCTACATGAACATATTCTTCACGTGCAAGAACACCCTGGTGATACTGCTGCAGATGTATCGTTTGTACGTCGTGCAGAGCGAGAACCGCGAAAAACGCGAGAAGCTGAAGAGGACGAGGAGGAGGCGCTACTGCGAGAGTTACGAGAACGGCAACATAAGCATCATTTCGCGAGCCGATACCTGCTACGCCGAGCGGAAGAGGCGAAATCGGAGTGGCGAAGACGATTGCCGCGTGGACAAAAAGAGGAAGAGAAAAAGCGAGCCAAAGTCAAGGGACGTCGAAGCGAGTCGCTTGGACTCGGACGAGGAGTTGGAGAGAAGCAGGTTTGAACTTTTTTATCTTCCGAGACGTGGGGATGGGTGATGATTTTGCAGATGGAAAAATAAACCTGATTTGTTTAGGAGAACTAAGGATGAGACGAGCAACTCGACGTCGAGTTCGAGGGCGTCTTTGAAGGGTTGTCGGGGCCGGGAGGAGCGAAGACGGCGCTCGGATGTCGAGAAATCGGCCAAGTCCGATCGGCAAGAGTCGAGAGCTCGGAGGAAACGCGAGGGAAACGGAAGACGCGAATCAACGAGCGAGCGGTCGAGCGAAGATACCGACTCGGACTTTCGGAGTAAGAGGAGGTGAGTGTTTCGCATTGATTGTCGATTTACGTGTTTCAATCGGTCAACTGTTTGGTATGCGCAGGTACAACGGGAGAAAGAGACGATCGGATCGTGATTGACGGCGACAGCGTAGGCTCGGCATTATTGGCCTCCTGGTTCTTTATGCGGCTATTTTTCTTTGCTACGTGGTATTTGTTTACGCCAAAATCAACGGCGGCCTCGTCCTGGTGTCCCGAACGCGTTATTATTTCCACTCCAACTACACAAAGTCCTAACTGTACAAACGCACAAATTTTTGTATATAATATGTATATTTTTATTTATAATATCGTTCTATACAGCATAAAGGTATTTATGTACATTTTATCATAATTATTCGCGAATAATCGTTTGTTTTATGTAAACGCGCGAACTGGGCCTGTTTGTCCACGTCAAATATATTTTTTTTCTTTTTAAGATAACTTTGTTTCCACAAAGCCAAACAAATAAATTACGCGGCTCGTTGGCAAATCTTGCAACTTAGGTCACTCAATATCTGGAGGTGTATATTATTGTACACTAAAGTCGCATCCCTGAAAATCGAAAGAAAAAAAAAAAAAAAAAAAAAAAAAAAAAAAAAAAAAAAAANAAAAAAAAAAAAAAATTCGTCACGTCAGATTCTTGGGATCGTCGAATAGATCCATACCGTCGTCGGCCCCGAAATTCTTGAAGTAATGCACCAAATCGGTGACAAAAGCTCGAGGCCCTGAAACACAAACACGCGCATTGATTTCCACGTTCCGCCGTTCCTCTAATATAGTAATCACCTCTCCCCTCGCCGATTCCTCCGGCGTCGACCTCCCGGTCCTTCTTGGACAGATCGAGCACCTCGGACTGCTGGCCAGCGTCCACGAGAGCAGCTCGAGCCCCGAGTCCAAAGTCCTCCCTTGGCAGCGCCAACTTTGGTCGAAAAACGCTCGTCGGCTCGGCCAACCTGATCGCCGGGTAGCCCAGGGACTGCCGGTCGGACATCTGACCGCTCGAGTACGTCCTCGGCACATCGACGAGCAGAGCAGAGGTGCCGTCCGGCCTCTTGCGCAAGCTCACCTCCGCCCAGGAGACGCTGGTGCTCTGGGTCGCCGAAGTCACCGTCGAGGTCCTCTCGGCCGCCATCCTCTTGGGCGTCTCCGGTGCTTTCACGAAGATCAGCTTGCCTGCGGGCACACCGATCTCGTACCGATTCTTCATAAGGAAAATGAATGACATTATTACCCTTGGAGTTGCTCTTGACCGCCTGAACCTCGCAAAAGGGCAGCCCCAGCCGATTGGCGACGGTTGGAGGGGCAGTACCGCGCGGCAGGATGAGACACTTGGACGGCGAGGCAGCGGCGGAGGACTGGTGGTGCCCGAGAGCGCGGAACATGACGTCCTTGGAGGACAGTAGACGACCGACCGGCGCGTACTTTGGACAAGCGCCGTTTTCGCCGGACCGGTGCAGGCGCGCCCTCTGCAAGCTCCCGAGGTGCTGGAGCCGCTCGAGGCTGCGGATCTGCTCCAATTGCCTGTGCTGCTGTTGGTGGTGCACCAGCCCGAGACTCTGCGGGAAAAGCCGCAAGTTGGCGTTAATCAAACCCACGAGGGAAGCTCGAGAAGCGGGTCGTACCGAGTGAAACCGATCGCCGTACGTTGCGATGCTCGCCGGAAGCCTTGGCCTACCGATCTCGATGCCGGGCAGCTTCTGACGATTAGCCGCGCTCGCGACCTGTTGTTGCTGGCGAACGTGGCGCCCCAGCTCGAGGTTGGCTTTATCCCCCCGGCGCTCCAGCGAGTCCAGACGCACGATCTCGATCTGCGCGTCGCTACCGATCTCCCGGTAACTCGACCCGTCGAGGCTCGCGAACAGCCGGCCGTTGTACTCGGCCGCCAGGCCCAACTACATCGGGACGTCAGACTCAGCTCGCCCGTGTTGGTCGGAAAATATAGTCTGCCGATCAACGAACCTGGGGGTGGTAGACGGGCCGCTCGTGCATGCCGTGGACCGGCCACTCCTTCCACTCGACCTCGTCCCGGCGGGTGGGTGCCTCGTAGGTGGCGCCGACGTTGCCCTGTTTCCGGGTGGCGCTGCGCGTGCTCATGTACCCGGGATGCGAGCGAGGAGGGGGAGCCTGGTCCTCGGGTTCCGGTGAGCCGGTCGTCGGGGCGCACCGGCGTCTGGACGCGAGAAGTCGTTGGCGCAAGGACGGGGCTCGTTGGTCCTTGCGCTGGACTGCCACTGTGCGCAGGGGGTTGCGACGGACCTCGAGGACTCTGGGGACGGCACGTTGGGGCGTATACGGGATCGTCGGTGGGAGAGGCAAAGGGGAGAGGTATATGTACTTTTTGACGCGACTCCGGTGGGGCTTTTTCGGATTGGGGTCGCCGTTGGCCTCCACCTTCTTGACCTCGGCCCGCTGCTCGCTCGACTCGGGTGCTTCGTCGCTACCGGTGTCTGCTGATTAATTGTTTTTTTTTTTTTTTTTTTTTTTTTTTTTTTTTTTTTTTTTTTTTTTTTTTTTTTTTTTTTTTTCTCTGTATTAACTTCAATCCTTACAAATTATTCATCGAAATCGAAAGAGCACTGTATATGTGCACGCAATAACCCTCTCCGCCAGTCAACTGTTTTCACTTTCGACTTGTCAATTTTCCGAGCATTTGTTTACACAACTCAAAATTGATGCCAATGTCATTGGGTGTTTGGTCAAGTTTTTAAAATATATATTCGTACGAGAATCTCCGTTGTTTTTTATTCTTTATATTTACATATCGTAAGGAGGAGAGAAAAAAAAAAAAAAGTCGTCAATTTATGGAAAAATTCTAACCAAGCGTGAGGCCGATGTCGAGGTTGAAGGTTCGTCTCAGCTCCACCTTGGCGTCGTCACGGCCGTCGAGTTCGGGGACCCGCGTTTCTTGCTGCTCCTCCCGGTCGGGAGGTAAGAGTCGGAGGGGTAGTCGGCCGGGGACCTTCAGCTCGAGGTTCTCCACCAGTGCGATCACGTCCACCTCCTCCGAGCTCATGTCGCTCTTACCCAAAGCCACCGAATTCTATTTCTTAAGGTTTTTTCTTTTTTTTTTTTTTTTTTTTTTTCGACTTTCGCCAAGCTTGTGCCAAGTGCCTGTAGGTTGTACTGGATATGTTAAATTTTTTTTTTTTAACACGTATTGAAAATTTCTACGTATATATGCGAGATGAGTTGGGAATGAAAATGAAATTCAGAGACAAACTGTCCACATTACAGTCCTTATATAATTCATTTATTTGACGTAGATAAATATTTTACTTTACAAAAATTTCATAACTACACTTCCTTGATTCCGTATATTTTACAGCCAAAATAAATGTCATCTACGCGTTATTTCTCGATATGACGAACCTTTATTCTATAATATATGTATAGGTGCACATTTCAATGCGAAAACACGTCTACAATTATCTCGGGTCGAGTAATAATACATGTAGCGGTGGTAATCAAAGTATACATTGCACTGTCGACGACTATTTGAAAAAAAAAAGAAAATAAACTGAAAACGTACAAAAACTCTCGTGTGTTATTTTATTTTATTTATTTTTCGATCTATTTTCCTATATTATCTCTCTTATTATCATCATCATAATTTACAATATAATATCTCTTTGGCACTTTCTAAATATATGTATATATTTTTTTTTTTTTTACATATATATTTTTGTTCATCCCGTCAACCACGGTCATCTGCATTTTTTTTTTTTTTGTTTTGTTACTTTGACACGTGTGTGTATAAACATTTACAAAAGTAAAACGAAACAAGAGCACTAATTTCTCTCTGTGTCATATTTATTTTCCATTTCCCTTAAGTCAAAGTTTCAGTTCATATTGTCACTGGTGAGGGTCAGCGAGGTGAGTACCGAGCGCCGATTCGGATTGACACCGAGGTTTTCCCAATTGATCCATGAAAGCCTAGCCGTCAGATCTACAAAATGCACGTTTCTGCCGTCAAACGTTGATCCTTAAACGGGGGGGGGGGGGAAAGAAAAAAAAAAGACACTCACCACTGGTGTTCCACAGTGCTCGTTCGCCGTTGATCTCGCCTCGGAGGGACCGCTCGACGTAAGTGATGGGGTCGAGACGGGCGGCCAGGACGTCCCGGAGTAGGGATATGTAGGCGATGGCGAGTCGGAGGGTGTCGATCTTGGAGAGGCGCTTCTCGTAGGGGAACGTCGGCACGTGCACCCTGAGCTCATCGAAAGCCGAGTTGATGCTGCTAAAAATCGTAAAGCACGCACTCACGATCGGTTGGCTAAATTTTTTTTTTTCTTTCTTTTTTTTCGGTGATTACGGAGAGCGATAATGATTCGCACGCGGTGCTTTACTTTCAACTCACCTGAGCATGCGTTTCCTTTCGCGTATGTTGGCCGCGTGTCTTTGGATTCTGTAGGGGCTGCCGTTCGGGTAGTAACCGTCCTCTCCGCCGCTCGCCTCGTTTTCCGCGATTTCTATAATTCATAGGGGTGAAACGAGGGGCTGAATTTGGGCTATGAAAACTCAGGTTTTATGTACCAACTGCGACGGTGACCAATTTTAAATGATAATTGAAAGTTTCATGGTAACTTGAACAATAACTGTTACATTTTTAACTCCCACGGTCATTGTTATTGTTTAAGTAGGGTAATATCGGGATACTGACGAATTTTGAATAATAAAACTATTGTAAAACTAATTGTACTGCTTAAGTAATATATGGCGTCTTAATGTCACCGTTATACTTATGCAAAGTAAAAATCACTGTTGTTTTTTTTCTCCAATTTATGCGTCAAAAATTGTGTTATTTATGTTCTGTCTTTTTTTTTTTTTTTTTTTTTTTTTTTTTTTTTTTTTTTTTTTTTTATTGTTTCATTTTAAAGCACAATATGAAATGATCTCTTAAATCCATGCTATTTAAAAATTATATTTTAAGATTTACAATTTATCCTGATTGTACATCAAGTTTACATTGCTATTGAGGCCCCAATTAATAAGCACGTAACTCTTGCTCTTAGTTTGCTGACAAACTGTAAGTAAACCAGCAACAACAGCAAAATTGTAGCAAGTCACCGTATATTCGGATCTATTTTTGTTTCTAGTTGTTTGAAAAAAAAACCTACGTTATTTAATGCGTTGGAACATCTTAAAAAAAAAAAAAAAAAAAAAAAAAAATGACTTTGCTAGTACGAAGCAGTTAATAAATTATTTTTTTTTTTTACTTTCACATCAACTATTTTACTATAATAGATCAAAATCACTCAACTACTCTAACATGATTTTTAGCATTTTAGACAATCGGAATTGCACCTTAGAGATAAAATCGTGTAAATAAGTTCCAATCGGATATGCCTAATCCGCAACCTGTTCTGGGGCACACATATAATATGAATCAAAGGTATAAAATTTTTTAGCAAAAAATAATTTTATGTACATTTTAAAAATGATTTTTCAATTTCAGAGTAGGTACGAGGAAAATTTTTAAAAACACAATAATGCAGTTAAAAAATATAATTTTAGGTACATCTAATACTTTTCTTTGGGGACAAATATTTCATAGACAATAAATTTTTGTGTTACATGGTGAAAAAAATCTGCTTCTAAAAATGTTCAATTATTTATTTTCCTATCACTAGAGAAAGAACATCATTTGTTTCGAATGAAAAATAAAAAAAATAAACCTTTCGTAGTTGCCAATAATAATTAAGATTAAACAACCTGGTTTTCGTTCTTTCTCGGATTACTGCAGTTTTGGGATTGATAAAAATTTACCTCAGAGATAAAACCCTCTGGCTGTGGTGTATAAAAACGAAATAAAAAAAAGCAAGTAACGAATTTCCAAACACACGCACAACATTGTAACAAGCTCCCAGATGATATAAATTTGCCTCTATGCACTAGATTTTTTGTTGTTAAAAAAAAAACAAAAAAAAAAAAAACGAGAGTGGGTACTCGAATATTATAATGTTGTACACGTAATTACCAGCCGTGGCAGCAGGTACGTGATGGTAATGAAGCGCAGGCGGCTGCCCATGATGCACCGGGTGGATCGCGTGCTGGGGTATCTGCGGCTGATGTTGCTGCTGCTGAGAGGGCCTACCAGCGTAGACGCACGACGGCAAATCCGCAATGTCCTCCTCGGTAATGTCGTTGTTGGGGGGCCCGAAATAGTATTGCGAACTACACGTATGAGAGCATATTGTGAATGAGTATATTTGTGCGAAGAGAAAAAAAAAAGGAAAAAAAAAAAAAAAAAAAGGAAAAAATGTGGTGAAATATCCCAAAGGCACTCGAATCACCTCGCGCAAGAGACCGGCGAGTCGGCCGGCTTGTCCCCGACGGCGCCGAGCCTGTGCCGAAACCTGTGGCCCCTGTCGTCGTAGTCGAAGAGCGGATGCGTCGCCATCCCCGTGCCAAACCAAAGCCACTTAACCCTCGGCAAAACCCGAGAGACAATTAGCAAACTGCACTCGCGTCGAAACTGTAGCAGCGGACGGTGCGCGCTGGACACCCGCGCGGTACAATCGGACGCGTCCCGGGCCAGTGCCGAGCTTTATACGAGCCCGGCGAGGGTGGCTAATCGATCGTCGCCCCCGTGACGGCACTCCACCGGCTAGCTGGGCGTTTCCCCCGTCCGGACCAATCCGGCCTCTGCCGCGCAATCGCCTCGCGACCATTGGCCCTTCCTCCTCTCTCTCTATGTATACCGTGCGGTTTATCGCGCCGAGCTGTATTTTATCATTACTGTTATTGTTGTTCCACCCCCACCCCCTCAGATTTACTTTTTCCTTTTCTTTTTTTTTTTTTCATACTCACGTAATATCGTGCTCTCCTCTGTGTACATGGGTGAGAGCGCGCGACAGAAAAATAAAAGCGATGGAGGAAGCTCGGCCCGGCTACTGTAATTTTGTTTTGGGAACAAAAAAAGTGCCATTTCGCACAAATTAATGGGCGCCAGGGGGGGTTTTATCGCGAAAATGTTTACGGGGGCTTTTTTAAATGTAACACCCGAAGTGTATATGCACCGGCGTTTTTGTAGCGTCGCGGAGGATAAAACCCTTTGTTGGGAAATCTTTTGCGAAATGGCCATTTTTTTTTTTTTTCAATCGGTACGTCAACCAGTCTTTCCTCCATCAAAGCAGCATCTAATATTTACCGAGCAACGATAAAACAAAGATCGACATAAAAAACGGAATTAAAAAGGTCTCGCTTATATGATACCTTAAAAAAAAAAAAAAAAAAAAATTTCACTACACCCTGACGGCGATGATCACTCGAGGAAGCGAGTACAAAATAAATTTCGCACCACTGACAGGTAAGTATGAAAAAAAAAAAAAAAAAAAAAAAAGTTACAGCCTCGTGCGAACTGATGAAACAATAGAGACATCGGCAAACGAATGATCCTCCTCTTCATTGAGCGTCAATCGGCAAGAAACACACGCGTACACATAAAGCCCGAATCTCACACTGGCCCGGCTATAATACAAGCGCGAGCCCGACGGACGATGAAATTGACTGAGCCGCATATAAGTATACGTACATGTAGGCATTATGCTTATATAAATAGCGCACGCTCGGATGAAAAGGACCGGGCTTATTATAATGGAAACTTCTCACCGCGGCGTCCGGCCACCAGACCACCACTCGGATGATATCGAAATATGCAAATTACGCGCTTATGTGTGTATACATTATGACGCGCGTATGTATATATATCGGGCATTGTGTATTCATTCGTACAACACACACACACACACACACACACACACACACACGTCGTGTGCACATCCAGTGCAGAGACGAGCCTGTTTAGGACACGAGAGCGACCCTGTGGTTACATAATTCCTCGACCGCACCCCCCCCCCCCCATGGCTGATGATTTGCTTTCGCACGGGGAGTGCGTGTGTCTCTGATTAATTGCGCGCTCTCGAGTGCACCCGCACATATGGATGATAGTCCCATAATCGATTGAAAAAAAAAAAAAAAAAAAAAAGAAAGAAATCGCGTTTCTTTTGAAATCTTTTCTTTTTTTTTTTTCACTCCCAAGGAAGGTATACAGCTTCGGACGGGACGGCGATCGAAAGAGTCCACGGAGTCGCGTTACGTCCCCGCCTCTTCCTACTCGGTTTTCGGGGTACGCGCGCGCGTATGACAATAAATGCACGTATCGCGCTTTTGCGTCGCGTGCCAGTCAAAGGAGAGGCCGCAAAGTAGCCGTGTGTCCTCGAAGCGATTCACGAAGCCTATAATTTTTCTCCGGGCCTCTCGACGATGATGACGGTGCTGCTGCTTTTTTTTTTTTTTNCTTTTTTTTCCTTTCCTTTCACTGAAAGTTAAAAATACGCGAGTTGAGTGTGTTGCGACATCAGGACTTCTTTGAAATAAAATGTATTTAAAAAATAATAAAATACACTGAAAATAGTTGAAACGCGAGTTGGGCGTCAATTGTAAAAGGTGCTGTGTATAAAAAAAAAAAAACATAATGACCTCTGCAAAGCCTTGGGGCTCATCTCCTTGTCGTGGATCCTACCGATCCCCATGGTCTTCGTCTAAGTAGCCGTGTGTCCTCGAAGCGATTCACGAAGCCTATAATTTTTCTCCGGGCCTCTCGACGATGATGACGGTGCTGCTGCTTTTTTTTTTTTTTTCCTTTCCTTCGTGCGAATCGGCCATCCGGCTTATTACACGGGGCTACCCTGGAATATATATATATATTCGTCGGGACTATTTTGTTTTTTTTTTTTTGGTAATGTAAAATAAATCCAATCGAAAAGTACAAAGTGGAGCCAAAGTGAAAATCTTGATCCGTTGGAAAATAAAAATAAAAAATCCCAACGAAGCGGATAACTGTACAGCCCCTGCTCAACTTTGCCACGAGTAGGTATATATATATACAGGTACCTAAATAATGTTGTATATGTATATACACTCGTGAGGAAACCCGCAAATCCCACTCGAGTTAGAGCGCAGAAAATACCCTTGTACGAGTAATATGCGCTTATACATGTCGAGTTACATAAAGTACCATCAGTTATGCACACACCTATGGCAAACACACGCGTGTGTACACATGCTCACTGTCAGGATACCTTGTATATGTATACCTCGCACGCGCTCAAAGTTTGCCTTTCCCAACCTCGGAACGGCAAACAGTGGGGGCCAAGTATATATATATACACTTACTTGGAAGAAAAAAAAAAGGGACTTATTTGACCAATAAATAATTCGACAAACAAATTGATCCCCCTTGGACTATAAACAGATACTTAGAGGCACGCGCGCCCATCCCCTCGGGGGTACAACAGTTTATCGGTGGGTAGGTAACCCCCGAAGCTTTGGCCCGTAGGACGTATCAAAGGGGGAAAATTTCGCGACGCCGCCCTGCGAACCCCTACTGTGAGAACACGCGAGCTATGCACGAGGAAGGGGGGGGGCCCGCGGCGTGAAATCTCTATTATAGGCCTCTTTGCTCTCTCTCCCCCTGGCGCTGACAGGAGGCTGGTTAAGAGAGAAAGATCGTAAAGGGATCGCGTGTGTGGAGAAATTAGAGAGTCACTCGATGAGAGATCGCGATAAGGAGACACGAGATGTATGTGTACCTTGGTTGAATATTTATCCTCATTGTTGTCCGTACACACCAACTCTTTTCCCTCTCTATCTCTCCATCTCTATACTTTTGTCATGTATCGCTATCTACCCTAACGTACGAGGTGTAGCTGACGAGGCTTGACTCCTCAATTTCTTTTATTTTCCCCTTTTTTTTTTTTTTTTTTTTTTTTTTGGGGAAAAAAAAAAAAAAAAAAAAAAAAAAAAAAAAAAAAAAGGAAAAAATGTGGTGAAATATCCCAAAGGCACTCGAATCACCTCGCGCAAGAGACCGGCGAGTCGGCCGGCTTGTCCCCGACGGCGCCGAGCCTGTGCCGAAACCTGTGGCCCCTGTNTTTTTTTTTTTTTTTTTTTTTTTTTTTTTTTTTTTTTTTTTTTTTTCTCGAGGAAAAACAAAAAAGAAACTTTATTTATAAAACATTACTTCAACTCTAGTAAAACTATTATTCCAACCCCGAAATCCTACCTCTCGAAAACTGCGCACTTACATACAAACGTGCCCGAGAGATAAATCACTTACGAGAGCCCAAAGCACACGCACACGCGTGTATAGTATAATACATATTTTCCCTTGTATCACTCGAGAGAGAGAGAAATACCCACTGGCTCACCCTATAATGCGCAAACCGTAACAGTAGCCACAAGCACTCGTGACAAATTGAGATAAATAATCGTCGTTTTGCTCGGGTGTGTTTGGCTATACGTGGGTATATCTTATACATCGGACGCGCCACTTGAAAACATCCGTCACGCCGATCACTTACCTCGTATACGTACCCTGTATGGAAGAGCATCGGAGTCAGGCTTTTTCGCGTATACCCGATGACGCGTGAGAAAAACTCTGTTAAGTACGTGGACGCGTGGGGGATATATGCGTCCCACTCGCATTTTGTTTACGACACGCTTTTATACAATACACACTCTTTGGTTCATTCATCTTTTTTTTTTTTATTGCATCGTACATAATATATATGATGTTTGAAACAGACGATTGGCGAGGCCCGTCACCGCGAGCAAACGGTTTTTCACAGCAGCTCCAGGGTGTTCCTCTTGCCGTCGGAGACGAGGATGTCGTTGCTCGGCAGCACCAAAATCCCGGACACCAGGCCAAAGTGCCCGACCAGCGTGCCTTGAACGCCGTAGCTCCGCAGGTACGAGCCGGCCGGCGAGAACACCTGCACCCGGCCGTTCTCCGAGTCGCCCACGTAGATGTTGCCGCTGTTATCCAGCTGCACCACCTCCGGCGACCTGTCGACACACACGAGTTTTGCCGTTTCACTCGCTAATGGCATGTAAAATTTCGGGTGTGTTACCGGTCGACTCACTTGAAGAGGCCCTTGAACGTCCCCAAGCCGCCGATCGAGAAGATCAGGTGGCCCCTGTGGTTGAAAACCTGTACGGAGGACCGGATGAAAAATCTCGAGTGAATCTTAAAAACGGAAGCAAAAAAAAAAAAAGGGGGGGGAGTACCTTGATCTTGTTGTGGCCGCAGTCGGCGACGACCACGGCGTTGGCCGAGACGGCGACGTCGGTGGGTTGTTTGAAGCAGTGGACGCTCGCGAGGACCGCGCCGCTGTCAGCTCGGTTGTCCGCCGGTCCGATTCCGCCCTTGTACGCCCCGTCGACCCCGATGATCTGGACGCGGTCGTTGCCCGTGTCCGCGACGTAGATCCAGTTGCGCGATTGCAGCGCGGCCAGGCCCTCCGGACACCGGAACTTACCCCTCGAGCTGCCCTTGCCGCCTATCTCGCGGACCAGCTGGCCCTTGCGGTTGAACGCGTAGATCGCGTGCTTCCACTTGTCTGCCGGGCCAAACGTTACTTCGATCATACAAATGAACATGGTTTTTCTTACCTCATGTGTTTTTTTAGAGGCTGCTGGTAGGGAAAAATATATAGGATTCGCCATCGCACCGCGGCTACCTTACGCAAAATGGTACTCATCCGACGAAAAGTACCATTTATCGCGTGTTGATTGCAATTTACCGGTGACGAAGACTTCGTGCAGACTCTCGACGTAGGCCACGCCCTGGGGCGCCATGAGCTTCGCGTTTTGGATTTTACGCGTCAGCTTGTACTGGCCGTCGAAGACGAGCACCGCCGCGCTTCCCGAGCAGGTCACGTAGATCTCGCCCCGGCGCGGGTCCAGCGCGATGCCCGACGGCCGCTGGAGCTCCTTCTTGTCGTAGATCAGCTTTGGTCTGCGAACCATTGTTATTGCTCTTTATTGGGGTTTTTTGAGGACTCAAATGCAAATTGTTGGTGTTTTTTTTTTTTTTTTTTTTTTTTTTTTTTCAGGTAAACTGTATACTTTGGTCACTACTTTTTTTTCCTTTCCTTTCACTGAAAGTTAAAAATACGCGAGTTGAGTGTGTTGCGACATCAGGACTTCTTTGAAATAAAATGTATTTAAAAAATAATAAAATACACTGAAAATAGTTGAAACGCGAGTTGGGCGTCAATTGTAAAAGGTGCTGTGTATGAAAAAAAAAAAAACATAATGACCTCTGCAAAGCCTTGGGGCTCATCTCCTTGTCGTGGATCCTACCGATCCCCATGGTCTTCGTCTCGACCATGTCGTCGAGCCTTGTCTGCCAGCTCGACGCGCTCGAAATCATTTCCGTGGTCTTCCGGTGCAGCTCCAGGAACTTTTCGACCTGAGGACAAACGAGATCAAACAACAAAACAATCCATGGGAGTACTTAAACAAGCCGAAGCGTTCGGGTGATTAATTAATCCTGTACCCGAGATTGGAGGGGGAAACAAAAAAAAAAAAAACTGTCTACCCAGCTTAATTTATTCATCGGAGCCACAGCAGCACCCTTGTGGTGCAACACGCATAAGGGAGGGTAGGTGGGTAAGTATTTCTCAAAACTAATTGATTTGGAGCATTATTGCCGACAAATCCCCGCGAATGGATATGGAAAAGAAAACACACAAGTACTCCCTTCTCTCTCGTCCGTACCAGCTTTAAATCCGCAATCGCCCATTTCTCTGTATACATATATACCAAAGCATAAACCAAGTAATACACGTGTCTTACTTCGCTTGGGCGGTCCCCTCGCGATGCCTTTGGCCAAAGTTTTTCGCGACAATGGGGGTGGGGGACTGCCTACGCACGCACCGGCACGTGCGAGGCCAAATCCCCCCCCCCTGTGTACCTATAGGTCCATTGTGAGCCGACGCTGCGGCAAAGTGCGAGAAAGCACATGTACAAAAGTTCGCGGGCACAAGAGGCAGCTTTTCCGTCGGCTATAGGGGGAATCCCCTCCTTCTCCCTCGCACTCCCTTTTGGCTTTGTGTGTTTTGTTGTACGCGTGTTTGTTCGATTGGCCGCAATTTAGTGCCACGTCGTTGCCTCCTTCATTTACGGGCCCGGGATATCTTTGCATTGCTCAACTGCTTGTTTTTCCACTTTAGATGAATTATTAATGACCAAAGAAATTTTTTTTTTTTTTTCAAGGGTTCGAGGGTAATTTAGAATTTTTCATTCGCAGGTGAGGGTGAGTGGCTAATAGTTATTGCATAAATTAATTTCCTAAGGTACATATTGCACATGTTCTTCGGTTTTGACAACATTTATACTCTTGGAAAATTTTTCATCTCAGATGGACAGAAATACAATATTGAAGTGTACTTTATTCGTGACGTTTCTGATTTTTATAATTTTTTTTTTTTTTCTCACCTACAAATTACATTAAATATTAATGAATCGTTGTATTGTTTTTTACAAAACGGCATATGCGAATTATTACGTGATTACACAAAAATTAAAAATCATTGAAAAAAACATAAATTATCAGGAACGCAATTTTATATGGATTATAGATTAACTAAGAGTAAATTGGAAAAGTTCTAATAATTAAATTAGGATAGTTTAGTTACAACTGTGTCGTGTCAGTTTAAAAAAAAAAAAAAAAAAAAAAAAAAACACTCCAACTTGGAAAACATATAAACAAAAATAATAAAACACCCCTTCAGTTCAAATTGACTGTACCTTTTTGAAATTATTAAAAACGAAAAAAAAATTTTTTTCTATTTATTTCATATAAATTAATATATCCTATCAGTATTAATTTTTTTAATGATCCATAAATTTTAAAGCACAACACAATACATGTGGGTACAGATCGGAGCAACGATTTACTTAATCGTCATCTATAGTTATTCCACGACTTTGGCTTAAAAGTCCACCAAACACCAGTGTATACACGCGTGTCGAACAAAAAAATTCCCGACTGACGTCTACGCGATATCGACAGGCGTCCTGTAAGCCACGGGCGAAAATAAAAGACGGCTTAAAAAACAAAAAAACAAAAAATCTGTCGCTGTATCTAAATCAAGTTAACAAAAAAAAAAGAGAGTTGTTAGGGGGGAGAGGAAACATCGGCAAAACCCATACATATAATGCATCCAGGAAGCTCGAACCTCCGTAATCGGCCTAAAGGGGGTAAAAATATGTCATCCCGTAAAATAAAAATATCTGTGCACGCCGGCGCCAAAAGCCTCAAATTGGCTTTAGCCCCCTTGTGGATACTATTAACCGACCCCCCCCTCTCGCTAGAGCGAAGAGGGTGCCGATGTGTGTATACCAGCATATAATGATACACCAGTTAGCGACGCGTCAGTTGATTTTCCCATGGGCCCGCTCGTGTTCTCGCTCTGCCATTATACGTATATATATACACAAGTTGCACGAGAGCTACAGGGTATATAGAAGGGCAGGGGGTGGGGGACAATATGTCGCTGTTGATGCTGCGGCTAATTTCACGGGGACCATATATATACATACATACGTACATATGTAGGCTCGCGCGTGCGGGCGAACATCCCCTTGGGTGTATTTGTGTAGAGACGCGTATTGCTCCGGCCACTCGAGCAAACGGGAAATTTTGATTTTTGCGGATCATCGCATCCGGACGAGAGTGAGCTTGAGAACTCGTGCTTGTTGCATCGGCCGAGATAATTGCCGAGCGCCGGGGGTAAACATACGCGATTGCCGGCCCGATACGCTTCACGTCCACGGTACACGCGCTTTCATATCGCCCAATTTACCGCGACGGATTGATCTGTTTTTAATAATTCGATCTTGAGTGCGGTTGGCTTCGCCCCCCCCCCCCTACGCAAAGTATCGAGGATGCGAGCTCTGCTTGGATGAACTACATCGGGGAACGGTCCCCAAGTGACAAAAAAGGAACTGGTCGATCGTTGAGCCATCGGAGTGGAAAAGAGAAAAAGTGCCATTGCACCGAGGTGAGTCGGGTCAGTCGGGCTTTAAACAGCCGCGACGGCTCGAAGGGGGTGAAGAGAAACAAACGAACGAAAAAAAGTACAAAAGAGACGGAGTGAGAGAGAGAGAGAAGTTGAAGGAGGAGATCATGGCCGCTGGCTCAGGGCGCGTGCAAGTGACTCTTTATGGCAGAGGAGTGCGGCTGACGTAAATTATTAGGTTTCCGGGGGAGCGAGTGGGTGGCACGCACGGAGGGAGGGAGGGAGGGAGACGAGAAGACGTGACGTATCTGCTGGCTGGCGCGGGTATAGCAACGGAGGGGGTTGTTGAAGACGACGCTGCAGGCGTGGCTTGGACGTGTGGCAGAATCGGAGGGCCAGCGTGGGCGTGGCTATACCCACTTCGCTCTCTCTTTCTCTTAGCGCTCGGCTCGACTGTATATATATATACAATATCCATGTGCTCTCCGTGCTTGCGACAAATTGATAATATACACGTAATATATTCCAGAGACTGTACTCCATATGTATATACACGTCCGATTTTACGGCGAATGCATAATTAATCGAGCGGTATAATGTATATACGGAGAGGATGCGTTGCGGGTTTTTGTCCCTCCCAAGCGCGAGGTATACCTATACCTGTCGTTTGAGGGATGTTTCATTGCTTTGTGCAAGTGTGTATGTTTACCCTCTGTGCGGCGAAAGTGTCGTTTTTTAAAAACTTTTTTATGGCAAATCCGTTGACTATCCGTAATTTGTTATGATTGCTTTGTTCGTTGTATTACTTGTCACTTTATGGAAATCAATTTTATTTTTTTCTTCTCATCCATACGATAACCAGTTTTCATGTAAGCTACCTTGAGTATACGAAATTTAAGTTAAACAAATGAAAATGATACTTTTGCTGGAATAAAGTGTATAAATTTATTAATATGTAAAGGGCATGATTAATACGATTATATGTGATGGGGCAAAATCATCGTTAGTGAATAAGAAAAATCAATGAGATTTGTGCGACAGTTCGATGTTATTTAATTTACTTGATACTGAGTAAAAAATGTTAAATCATTCGACGACGAAAAACTATAGAACAACTTTACAAAGAGTATCCAAATATTTTTCATTCAATATTCAAGCTTGAACAAAATAATTTTTAATTTAAATTATTTTGATCATAATCTTCCCTAGATGAGACATTAAATTCAAAGTTACGATTAAAATAACAAATGACAAAAGTAATTGTATTACAATTGACGGTGTGTTTATCTTCAATAATTTTCATTAAAAAAAAGCAAATTAATTGAAACTAAGGAAGCTCGATTTTTTAATAATCAGTTTTAATACAATGAATTTCGTTCATATCTCATGGTAATTACTCATGTCAAATAATTTTAATTTTAAACTCAATTACTGAAACGCTACAAATGGGATTCGCGTATTTTATATTGTTTGCCATTTTTCATTCCAAATAAAGATGGTTCAATGATAAATGTTTTCCCATCTGCTGTATAAGAATGAAAGTAATAAAAGTAATCGAGATACAAATAATACTAAAAATGACTTTAATTCATGTGATTGAAATTAAATTAATTTTTTAATCACTAATCATCATTGTAAGTAAGTGGACAATACGCTGCCTTTAAGACTGGTACGTATAAGCTATTCACGAGATTCCAGCACCTTTTCCTTTTAAATTACTACAAGCAGCTATTCTTGGATCCCATATGATCTATAGTCAGCTCAATAATTTGAGTAACAGGACTATGCCAACTGTCAGTTCCAGTCGCTAAACTTGTGTTGTTTTAGACTCTTCGAAGTACAGCCAAGATAAAAAAAAACATTTTGACCGATTGGCTGAAGGGCTAACGTATACATTATATGGTATTACTGGTTAGCTCTAATGAGCTTGCGAAGTAACTATTTGTCGGTTCTGCGTGGGTGATGCAAAGCGAAGTTTTTAATAACGCAATTATGAGTGATATGGACATTATACATATATGACCGGAAAGCTTAATCAGTTGGTTGATTGGATTCAAAAATAATTGTTACGCAAAAGGTATGAATTACTTAATGATTTTGATACAATTTTTAGTAATTATAAGATTTTAAAGTGGCAGTTATCATATTTTATATACATATATTATTTTATTATGAACCTAACTGCGGGTACATCCTGAATCATGAAATTATCAGTAAAGTAGACTCGAGTTTATCTAATAGAATTATGTATAGATTAATACCAAAATTTTTAAATCCAATCATGTCTAAAAATTTTTCTTGAATAACATACTTGAGTCCCGTGTCTGTTAAAACTTGTATTAAAAATATGTTTAGTTCATAAATAAAATTATTCGTTAACATCGTTTTTTAATTATTCATAATTATCGATTAACATAATGTTTCCTATCGGTAGACCGAACATTTGTCATTTTATTTATTAATAACGATAAAGCTTAGAAATAATTATTGAACTACTTGTAAATTTTTAAGGCCTTGCGATGCACTTCCTATAAGTTCTGCGTAAAAAATAGTATTTTCACCGTTTTTAAGCACTTCCGACGCCATTTTGGATCGGGGATTTTGTCCAGTGGGGTATAAACGAGTGGACATTTACATGTAACAGCACCGCCTATGATTACTCTGATAGCACATAAGATCTTTTGTAAGAGACAAAATAAATTTTCTAAATAATTATTGTGCAAAATCTTATTTTGGCTATTTTGAGTATTTTTTGGTACATTACGTCACTAGGGCACAAAGTACAAACATGCGATTGTTGAAGGTTGGTGCCCGAGTCGCGTACAATGTTTTTCTTACCGAGGGCCCAAAGTGCAATTTTGCGCCCGTTCACTTTGCGCTCAGTAAATCACTTGTGACCCGAGGGCGCAAAGCAGCAGTTGCACTTTGGGTCCATGGTAAGAAATGGTAGTTTTCCTACGAGTTTGAAAAGTCTCTGTTTGCGAACCGAGAGGTTTGCGGCCCGAGCCGAAGGCGAGGGACGTAACGAGGTTCATAAAGGAGACTTTTCGAACGAGTTCCGGAAAACTGCTTTTTCGCCCGAGGAAGTAACAGCCTCCCAAAACCACCCGAGGGCGGAAAATGTAACTTTTCGACGTTTTAAGCTCCTTTGGCAGAAAAATCAGAATATTCGCCACATAAGCCGCCGCGAAAATGGCGCTCACGCGACGAAAACTATTATCTTTCAGAAAAATTGTCCATAACTTTTTCTGCTTTTTCAAATGAAATTTTGAAACAGTATTCTAAAGATAAAATATTCGATCTATATGAGAAAAAGCGGGTATACAATTTTTCTATATTTCTATGAAAAGTTGCACGACAAGACGTCGTTGAAGCGAGTTGTAACGTATCGTGACAAAAAAACATGTGCCGGCCCTATCACGGAAAATCCACTTTATACAACTAGATGATTTTTAAAGCTGCGAATTAAAGATTTTCCGAAAAAATTACAGTACCCACATTCAAGTTATTCTGGAAAAAAAGGATTAATTCCTAAATTTCATTGGTAATCGGTTGTAAAGAATTTTTTACAAATTTTCACCGACGCCAAACCGTCTTAGTATCGTAAAACAAGTAGTCACACACCGAATTCAAGCTCAATCGAAAATATCCTCCCTCGGACCATACCACATAAAATTTTTGTTTATTTCACCCATAACCGATAGATTGATCTTTTTAGGTGATTAAGCATACAACTTCTGCTATCCCGTAGATCTAAAAATAAAAAATTTAAAAAAAAACTAAAAGACTCGGAGCAACAATAAAATACATCGCTGGTATATATAACAAAGTGAATAAGAAAAGCTCTCGAGGGACCATATATTATATTATACACATGTCAGGCGTGCAGGCGCGCAATCGGGAAGCTCCTCCTATCAACACTATATGCAGCTAGCCGGCACTACAATTCAATCGCCTTTGGAAAATTCAAAGCACCGGATCGGAGCTACGTGTATTATAGAGTCCGGTCCTCTCGTCCGTTCTTACCCGCGTTTATCCTCCTCCTCCTCCTCTTTGCCATTCTGTCGGTTGCGTGTATACACGTATACACACCAACCTCCACGGTATACCTACCCCTGCATCACAGCACAAGCGAACCGCGAACAAGAGAGACTCGATTTTGCTTCCCTCCCTCTCTTACACGGTACATAAGAGCAAGCGGGAGAGAGAACAGTGGTAATGGCCTGTCAGAAGCAGACGCTCAGCCTCGTTTTATCTGCCGCGTGTGCGCCAAAGCTCCCTCTCCCTCAAGTATACACAGGGGGGTGTACATATAGGTATATACACACGCTTTGCAGGAGAAACTTCTTCGATCGATCCGCCTCTCTCTCTCTCTCTCTCTTTGCCGTGTATTAGGTGTGTATGTACCTATACGCGGGGTCCTTCCTTCCTTCCTTGCGTCTCCCTGTTACTCGTGTACACGCAAGCTCTCCTTTGATTTGCTTTTAATTGTTACACCCACCCCCCCACCCCCTTTGCCGCACCGTGGCGGAACGATTGATCATGAATCGGCGCTATCGGAAGATGTATGTTTTCTTCTGTACCCCAAAAACCCTTCAAGAGAGAGAGAGAGAGAAAAGAAGAGTGAGTAATATTAATAGCCGCAAAAGGTTTAAAAGCACCGATTGTTATTTCACCCGCGGGAAAAGAGGGAAAAAGAGCGGGGGGGTCCAGCCACTCTACTCCTCCTGCTCCTCCCGTACCTTCGGACTATGGCTGTTTTCTTCCCGTCCTCCGGCGTGCGCCGGTGGATCAATACTCGCAGCGAGGATTCTGCGGGAGACAGCTCAGCGTGAAAACGCCGATTTTATTTGTCAAGCGGGAGAAAGGCAGATATAAAGACCGATGAAGGGAGGGGGGAAAAAAAAATTGTATAACAATCACGTACACAATATATACGTGTGTACATGCAGCGACAGTAATAAGCAAATGGCCAAGGCAAGGAGGGTAGAAAAAGAGGTACACCCACATCGAACGATTCTTCTCTCATTTGTACAGTTTAGAGCCACTGGAATCGTTGGAATATATATATATCGGTGCATGTCAAGTATGTGCATTTAGCGCTCGTCTTATATTGTTTTTTTTTTTTTTTTTTTTTCTTTCTGATTACACAACCTGTTGATAATGAAATGTGTATGACTCATTTCTTACTATGACAGCACGTCGATCACATATAGATCTCGATAAATCGAGTAAATAATAATACCTTATCCTTATCGTTGTCGATGCTATCGAAATTTTCGCTTTGCCTTGCCAGCTCGACTTGCCACTCGAGTATTCGTCGTTTGAGCTCTGCCGCCGTGTTTTCGCCTTTGCTCCTGAAATCATCGACGGCGCACAATTTTTTACTCTTCTCCTCGTGAAGGGCAGCTATTTTTGCGTCAAACTCCTTCGTGATTGCGTTTTTCAGATTATCCGTCTTTTCCTGCAATATGAGAGACATTTCATACGTTACTTTTTTTTTTTTTTTTTTTTATCATAAACGTCTTCTCATTGAATTTGTCATCTAATGATCGGATAGATACGAGCACTCGAGTTGTTACCTTGAATTCAACAACCCGGTGATCCAATTTGTTGCTGGTGGCCTGCAGTTGGTCGATTATTTTTTCAAAGTGCTCCTTCAGCTGAGCTACGTGCTGCACCTCGCAAACTTGACAGAAAACCTGTTGGCACATTAAAACAACTCGCGTCAAGAGCTTACATTGTTTGCGGGGCTAATAGAATTTTTTTCTCATACATTAATACATCGAAGCTTGTACATCGTTTCTCATTGCAAATTCACATTTATATCTATAACATTAGATTATCATTAAATAATCCACAACTTCCTTTTCTTCTACAGTTTGGACTATCCCTTCTACACTGATAGAAAAAAAAAAAAATAAAAATTACCGTTCAGTCATTAAGAGGCTTTTGACTGTTTGGAAGAGTAATTTTTATCACTAGTACGATGATATTTATTGCTTGCCCATCAATTAAATGGTAAAAATTAGATTGCCAAAAGTCCCTATAGACACCAGATTACTATTCTCCCACAGTAATTATTGTTTTTTCTCTCTCAGTGTGCAATTTATCGTTTGAATTTTTGTCATAGTCCCCTGACAATTTCTCACCCCGTAATGACTAATAAAAATATGTTAGGAAAGGAAGCTCTGCCTTAGATTATTACAGCCAAATAAAAGAAAAGCTGAAAAATTTAGTCTGACCAAACGCGGACGTGTTCCCCTTCGTTGGGGAATAACCGATCCCCGGTTATTTTACCTCCCCAAATGTAAAATACCCAAACCTGGTTGCAGTGCTGGCAGAGGTCGACGGGCTCGCCCACCGTCTCGCACTTGGAGCACCTCGTGCTCTTATGTCTGGCCTCGATGGACAGGGGCGCAAAGTTCAAGTGCAAACTCCGAGGCCTGGCCTCGACGAAAGAACCATCGACTGCTCGAAGGACGCTTTCGATGCTCAAGTTAGGCGGCAGATTGTCGCGCGTAAAGTTTTTCGCTTCCGCTTTGCACACTGGACACCGCAGCACGTTCTCTATACGGCCAACACGGTGGAAATTAAATTATAATTTTTTTCCTAGATGATCAACTGATAGATACATCGCTTTACTTTTATTTTACGAGGCATGAACAATTGATTGACTCCACATACGTTAGTGTAAATAATAGTTGAATGAACAATTCTATTCTATTATTTGACTTGGTGTTTGTGATTATGTATACGGGATGCATTTATATATATTATGCAAGTGAAGGTGTAGTACACGCATTTTTGCATTCCTCCACGTAGAATAGTTATTTTAATCATTATTTACGTTTTTCATCCGCTATCATTTGAATCGAATCGGTTCAATCTCGCAAGTTCCTCGAAATTTTGATAACAAAGTATTTATGATAAAGCCATGGCGATCGATCTATCTGTATCTCAATCGCTCGACAGTTTATTACTTGCTCGTACGTATTTTTTTTTCTTTTTTTCCAACAGAAACAACAGTAAGTTTTTTTTCTTCTTTTAATTACATTATCGTGACTTATTTGACGTTACCCATCGGGTCTCATTATCCATCGTATTTAAAATGGTTTCAAGGATTTTTAATTAGCAAAATTGAAAATGACGAGTAATCGAGAACTTTCGATTCGGTATGGATTTTCAGGTAAGCATAGTACGTACACACATACCCTTGTTCCTCGGATCCTCGTCGAATTTCCATTCGAGGCACTTTTTGCAAAACGTGTGCTGACACGGCAGCATCCGGGGGGACTGCATGATTTGCTCGCATATCGGACACCTGATAACATCCTCGAGTACGCCCAGTGTCGTTCTGGAAAGAACATTTAAAATACATAAAAAAAAAAAAAAAAAAAAATTTGAAAAAACATTCGTCTCACCTGTGTCGGTGCCTCAAGTTCTTCCTATGCACGACAACGTCCTCGGCTACGTAGCTCTTGGCGCTTCTCATCGCCGACCTCCTCCTCGCTTCGACTTTCTCATCCTCCTCCGCGGCGTCGAAGCTTCGCCCGGCGAAGGACACCTGCTTCCTCAGCAAAGTTTTCAATTTTCTCGACATCCCACGGCGCTACCGATTCGCTTTCGCGCCCATCCGCGTGATGTATCGACCGCAGAAATCGAGGGAGCACTGGGGCGATGAATTTTTTTTTCGACCCGACCGAGGCGGGGAGATGAAAAAAAAAAAAAAAAGATCGCGCGCTTTCAATTAACGAGTTCGTGCGAATCTATCGTAACTCTGTAGGTACACACCTATTAAATCATGCTTGTTGTTCGGCTCTTTATCACGCTGCTATTTTTTTTTTTTTTTATTTACGTAACGCGTGTAGAGGCGTGCTACTCCTAAATTATTTCGTGCGCTCGCAATCGGTTATCAAAAAATTTATAGCTGGAAGATCGAATCGCGCGTTGCTTATTTATTTCTTTTTCCTTATCCTTATATCCCGCTCTTCTCCATCTTTGGGATAATTGTGTGGAATATATGATCCAACGAGTAAGTACTTTCAACGGAATAAGAAAAATCGGTTCAACGAGACGCAAAAAATATAGCCAAGCGTATACGTATGGATCGATATAGATCGAACAGCGTCTCGCACACTTACGCCCCCGCGCAATCTCATAACCTTACTTCAGTCCTCCGCTTGGCAGTCCTCGCTGGAATGTTGTTTACCTGCCGATCTCCATCAAAGAGAAAAAGAAAGAAAAAAAAAAATCGTCAGAGAACGCGCGCGTATATATGTGACCTAAAAAGTGGCAGTGATCGGTGAGCTGGTGAAAAATCGTTATCGATGCGTGGTGCAAGCGGGGACGACCAGTAGCTCGAGGGTGTTATGCGTCCCAGGTTCCTGGGGAAGCTGACGCTAGCCGCGGCGGGCCTCCTGCTGGCCTTTTACTGTATCTTCCTGCTCCTGGTTGGCCAAGCACCTTCCCCGGCTGGCTCCGTCCTCGAGCTCCGCAATGCCAGTCACCTGCTCCTCGGCGCCCTGTCGCCGACCAACGGTAGCGCAGCGACCGCCGAGCCTAGCAGGCCGTCCTACGACCTCTGGTGCATATTTACCAAGGTGACGAGCAACACGGCCATGCGCAGGAAGTTCCGCGTGTTTCTCGAGTCGCTCCTCCGGCACGCGACACCCTCACCCGGTGCTGGTATTGTCTTGCACGTCATCACGGACGACGACAGCAGGCCCGTTGCCGAGAAGGTCGTCCAGTACTGCGAGCTCGTCACTAAAAAGTCTCTGAAGGTTGTTGTACCACACATACGTTTTTTTCATCCTCTAAAATGAGATTTCATGCAATGATAGTCTAAATTTTCTCTTGGAATCACTAAGTATATGATGCTTGAAAAAGCCCAAACTGCAGTGTTGACTATAATAACAGCGCGTGTATGATTTCCCCAGGTGCAATACTACGACGTGAAAAAGTCAGCGGGGACGATAGAGGACACGGTCTCGGTGATGTCGCCGCACTTCAGCAGCAAGCCAGGAACTTACTACTCGGACGCCCTGTTCTTCCTTTCCCTCGGTTTGCACAGGATAGCCCCATCCGAGCAGGATTTGGCGGTGATGGTGGACGCCGACACCAAGTTCAGGGTGGACGCTAGACTTATCTTCCAAGAGTTTGACCGTTTTGGGGAGTCTGCTCTGTTTGGACTGGCTCCGGAGCTCTCGCCTGTCTACAGACACGTTTTGTACACGTACAGGAGGAAGCATCCGAAAACCATGTTTGGCGAGCCGCACTACCTTGGTGGCTTTCCGGGGTACAACAGCGGCGTCATACTCGTCCATTTGAAGAGGCTCAGGGAATCTCTGGAGTACGATCAGATTGTTGGTAGGGACAGCGTGGAACATATGGTTGAGAAGTATGAATTCAAGGTAATTGTCACTTTGTAATATGTCAGTGGTGGGTGATTTGTTATTGATTTTTTTTTTTTTTCATTATTTTCCTTTCAGGGACATCTCGGTGACCAGGACTTTTATACGCTGTTGGGGATGGAGAGGCCGGAATTCATACACACGATAGATTGTGGCTGGAACAGACAGTTGTGCACGTGGTGGCGGGATCGCGGTTACGCTGACGTTTTTGCTAACTATTCCCGCTGCGATTCCGAGACGAAGCTCTGGCACGGCAATCGCAATACGCCGATTCCGGAAGATTAATATGCACGTACGTGGAGGGAAAAAGTTTACTAATTTAAGAGGTTTTTTATAAAAGGATCGCTTAGCTCGAAGTAATCCTGAAATATTATAGTTCTTCCAGAAACATCTTCATTGTTTTAAGTATTTTAACAAAGAAGTAGATTTTAACCAAGAGTATTATTGGGATGGGCTCCCTAGCGTGTAAATACACCCATATTGTGGATACCTCATATTTTTATTCTTAAGCATGCAGTGTCAGAAATCGAAAAACGTATGAGATCTATCAACTCCTGCGGTTTTTTTTAATCTAAGCAAATTCTGAGACTGCATATTGAAAGCTGACATATGTTAACTGAAAGTCTAAAATGGCTACCCAAAGCTCTTTACTACAAAGGATTTAGATGGCAGTTTTTTCGTGGTTATAAGAAATATTTCAAATAAATTTTTTAAAAACGTCAATCACCCGTAGCTACTGGATGGTAGATTTTCGGTTAACTAACGTCAGAATCTTCTTGGCGATCTTACTGTGATTTCGAGCGCAATATATGACATCTCTAAATCAGAACTGAATGTTTTTATCAAGATCTGAAATTGTTAGTATCAATTCAAAGTATTATAAATGTTTTGCGTTAATCCTTTACTAATATATTTTAGATTGTTTGTTCTTTTCTTTTCATAATAAACTAGTGACAACAATCTGGTTGATGGCCATAAAGAATCTTGGATTTTACTTGGTCTTCCGTCTGTTGGCATTTTTATTTTACCTGACTGTACATTTATTATGTTACAATTTTTATGAAAGCAATAAAATGTAAGAAGGATTTATAAAAAAGTACTATTTTTATTTTTGATTAATTTTAATGAAACTTTAAATTATAATATAATAACGCTTGTATATAAATAATAGGTTACAGTAGCCACATTATTTTATAAATTGAAATATTAGGAGACAATAATTAAATACAATAATGACAATAACGTGTATTTACAAAACAGCTTGCTTCAATTTTTGAACATGGCCTTACAATTGCGCGAAAATATTTTTACAAAATATCATTCTCTNAATTTGGCATTTTTTTTTTTTTTTCGAACAAACATTAAAAAACGAACTTATTATTAATAAGAATGAAAGATATTAGTAAAATGAAAGAGGATAATACATTTTTCTACGATTTGAAATAAGAGTCTATCCTTTGAAGGATCAAATTACCAGGTATGTTTATTAAATTTACTTGGCGGCTTTGATACTTATAAAGTCTTTTCATTCTTTCCCTAGTGTTATAACATTCACATACGCATAAATTCGTTGTACAATGCATTAAATTAAGATGAGTGTTACCTTTGGTCCCGTTGATAGAATCTTACAGTTTAGAATGATTGATTAGAATGTTTATTAGTTAGTAGATAGTATGTATAAAAAAGAACGTCTTCGGAAAATAGACATGACTATTTATGTGAAAAATTGGAACAATCGTCAGACGCTTGTTCATATTTCTTTTAATTACATCTTTCATTTGTATTGGATGAATATTTGGACAATTATCAATAATAATATATTATAATTTTTTTCAGACGACACAAAACTTACGATCGATAACATACATAAAATGAGCACCAAATTTTTTTTTTTTTTTTTCAGTTATTATAACGACAAACTTATCCTTCTTCCCAAGAAAATTATATTACTAACGCCATTATTTACAGGAAGTAATATCTGACGTTTGAGACGAAAAATACGAGTCTTCATATGTATACTTTTTTTTTGTATTTTTTAAAATACTTTTATGAAAACAATCAACAACAATAATATTCAATACTTATAATCATAAGTCTCAAACGTCTCTAAAATTAAACCATACGATTTTAACTTTCGCATGACTAATGTAACTAACATTATGACTGATTGACAACTAGCAACTTTTGCTGTTGGACATTTTATTGAAATCTGTCCTCTCGCTTCAGGCTTTGTTCCCTTATAAACCAACAAAAAAAATCCTCCTTCAAGTGTGACCCATCGAAACTCAACATCTTTCGGCAGCCTATAATACAAATTACATTCTCTTTAATATCATTACACTTGAAACCAAAAACAAAAAGTAAAGAAAAAAATGTCAGTCACGTACCTTTTTCAACTTTTCTCGACCACCGAAATTCCGGATCGACTCCAGCAACTGATCTCTGGGATCTTGCTGTGTCATAGCGAGACTCGACTTTGGTCTCGCGTTCACGCTCTTCAGCGTGACTCCCGTGATGATCGGCATCGTCGGTGGCTTCGGCACCGTACTCGTATTATTTTTCTCCAAACCATTGAACGCCTTCGTCACCGGCGCAGGCGTGGTTTTCGTCTGTCCATTCATGAACCTGAAATTAATGTTAAAAAATCATAAGTTTTACACCCGTAACTCTTCAATTTTTGTTTGAAAAGAAAAAACTTACCTGAAGCTCGTCTGCTGCTGATGCGACGGCATATCGTTGTCGTTGTTATTCGTAATACCCACAACCGAAGTGTAACGTTTGACGGCCGGCACTGGTCCGTTCGTTCGGTTGTGCTTGAAGCTAGCCACGCTCACATGAGAGTCCGCGAAGCCATTCACTCTCGGCGTACTGACACTGTCACGTTCGAAATACTCCGAGTGACGTTGTTGGGGAGGAGCGCGTACGGTTACAGGTGGTTTTGGTCGCATGCGCACTTCCTGGCCAAAGGCTTTTGTTAATTCGCTGAAGCTCACCTGCAACACGAGGCACACAATATGTTATTGTTTGTTTTTCCCCCAATTATACGTCAATCAATGAAAAGACTTACCGAGCTGGTGTCTACGCTCGGTTCATCCTTCTGCACCTCGGGCTCCTTGGCGTTGACCGGAATCGGTGCAGGTTTGAGCTGAACCGGTATCGTTTTACCGACCTGCACCGAGGTCGTCTTGGGCGAAGCTGGCTTCTTTTCGTCCGTAGGCTCGGAATTGAGACTGACGACGGTTCTGGCGCCCGAGAGCGCGCTGCCACCCAGCTTGTAGTCCGTGTCGCTCTTGATTTGGACGTTGAGGCTTGGCCTCTCGGCCCAGCTGCCGAGACTGATGGCCGGTGGACCGGCGTAGGTGTAACGCTTGCTTGCCTCGTAATTGCGCCGTTGCGTGGCTGGACGCGATTTAACCTCCGAGTGAGAGACAACTGGCGGGGAGGTGGCTCGCAGCTCCTCGCGCAGAGATTCTTGCCTGTCAAGTGCGTGAGAATCAAGTTGATTGTACAGTTTTAATGAAAATTTTCGTGATCGAAGCATCTTACCTTTCCCTCGCGGAAAAGCTATCGCTGCCGTTTTTGTGATCATTCGTATCAGTCGCTTGCGCATTTTTCAAGTGCGGTAAAATACTCTTCAGTACCTAAACAACGGCAATGTAGTGAAAATGTGTACACGATTTAAAAAATTGGATGAAACAATTTGTTCAAAAATCCACCTGCAAGGACTGCAATTGTTTCTCGGGGGAGGGATCCTCCTGCCTCTTGAGAATATTTTCCCTCCACTGCGAGAATTTCTCTTTCCTCGGCAAATCGTCGTTCGTCGTATTCACGTTAGCCAGACTCGTGTATTTCCTGGGCAGCTCGCCGTTACTTTCGACACTCGGACGCTCGCCAATCTTCTTCTCGTCTCGGCTGGTCTCTTGATCACCCGTCCTGTTTTGGAACTTCTCGTTCGACGCCAAAACAATGTAACTCTTCGACCTATGCACCGGCTTATCCCTCAAGACCTCGTGCCTTTCAGCTGAAACAACACACAACAGGATAAGTGTGTCGTGCTCGCTAGATAAGACAGTAAAATGGGATTGCAAGACTCACCGAACTTGGCCCTATCATCGACTAGAGGCATGGAAACTCTCTCCATGCTTAGGGTGTTCTTGAGGGTCGAGGCCCTCGCGCTCCTATCCTCGTTGTAGTCCGTGATATTCTTGCCCCTCGTAAGAGTGGCAAAGGTACCAAGGATCCTCGCCTCGGTGTGCTCTATCTGCATCGACGGCGGTGGCGACTGTTCCACCGGCTCGAAAATGTCGAGGCTTCTTTGCCTCGAGTACGTAGTTATCGTAAAGTTCGCCAGGTTGTTCTCCACGGGAGCGATTTTTGGAGCGTAAGAGTAGTCTCGCGTGGCCTCGACCGGCACCGCCACGGGCTTGCCGCTGCTTATCTTCGTCTCGAGCTCGGATATCACTTCGGCCTTCTTCTGCTCCGTTGCGTCGTTGGACAGCAACTGCTGGTGTGGTATTATTGGCTTCGGTGGCTTTGGCTGAGCAAAGTCCACGGAATCGGTGACCAATGACGGCTCGATTTTTTTCACCGCTTCCTTTGGTGGTGCCGATTTTTTCACCGCTGTTTGCTTGGGCTGATGGATCTCCGCTTCGATGGAAATCGAGTCCTTTTTGTTGCCGCTGCTCTTGGCCGATGGAGCTGGATCAAAATGAAACGTATTAACCGGGATATCGGTACGACGAACCAACAAAGACTAACCGGCGGGCTCCGCGTCACTGTCGTCCCGGAAGGCGCTCGGCGGTGCGGGTATCTGGTACTCCCAGTCGCCAATGGACAGGTCCTCGCCGCTGGCCGACACGTAGTCGCTGGTGTCCTGCTGAGAGGCCGCAGTCAAGTTCTGGGCCGATCCGTCGCCCAGTTGCTCTTCCTCCTCGTCTGCTTCGGTCCGTACGATCGACTTGGCTGTGCTTTCTAAAAACGAAGACGAGAGAGAGAGAACGACGTTTTGTCCTCGTGAATATTTATGAGGAGAAGCGTATCGCGCGTATACACGTATACACAAATTTTACTGCCACGGAATTCGTGGATCTCGAGAATCGGCCGATCGCCGTGCTGTTGTTATTATTTGATTACGCGGCACGTAGGAGTATATAGAGGAGGAACGGATGACTGCTTTTTTTAACGAAGCTCTTTTAGTTTCGAGCCGTGAACCGAAGAGACAAGCGAAACTTACATTTATCGAGTTGTTGAAAAAAAAAAAAAATCTGCGGCTCATTTCGCGATGATATTCCGTTAAAATACAGGGTATATATACAAGTATAGGTACTCACTGTCGTGAGCCTTGGGCTTGGCGTCCAGGCTAGCGTGTTTCGGCTGTTTTTTCTGCTTCTGCAACTCGCCACCGAAAGCAAGAGGTGGACCGGCGCCGTCCTCTCGATCCTCGGAAGTGGGTGACGGTGAGGGTGGTACGAGCGCCTGGGACAGCGTGTCCGAGACCTTTTGGAGTAGGATGTCCGTGTCCGTGGGTGCGGCTGGTGTCGTCGCTGCTACCGATGATGTTACCGCTGCCGGTTTGCCTGTCGATTTTTCGTTGCCATTCATTCGCTCGCTCATTAGGTCGAAGAACTTACTTGCTTGTCGTATTTTTATGCTAATTGATGTGTGTGTATGTATCGGCGCTTGGCTTTATTGAGAAAGAGAGTATGTATAGAAGAGAGAGAGAGAGAAAGAAAATGCTGATCGGTACTATGATAGATGGTCTTTGAAATAATTTTTTTTCTTCCGTTTTTGATGATCGTTAATTCAGTGTTTTCGTAAATAGAGAGCTGAATTGTTGAGAGAGACTCATCTCTCGGAAAATCATAATAAATAGAAGTAACTTTACGAAGTGATTAATAAATGTGACTGGACAAACTTTTGTTCAATAAACGCATTATTGTTATTGATTTATCAATTTTTTTTAACGATTCTTAAATAAATAACGGTTGTAATAACTGAAGACAGCGTCAGCTGGAGCATACATGTAAATAAATTTATTCATCAAACAAAACGTATTAAAAAGTCCATCACCAGGAGGTTAATGCAAAATATTCTACAGTGAGGTAATATTAATTAAAAAGTTGCAAACGAAAGAAAAATAAAAAATAAAAAAAAAGTCCAATACCAGTGATTTTTCGAAAAAATAAACACTACGACTATTATTTTTCACACATAAAAATTTGTACAATATTATCATAAATTATAGTAAATGATTAGCAAACTGATGAAAAAAAGGGTGCAAAAATCGTGCATATTTAGTGCTTGCCAAAATCATTGTAAAAAAAGAGTTTCTCTAGACTTCGAAAAATGAACGATAAATGAAAACGATCGAAAGTAAAAATGAACGCTGCATCAAGAAATGCGTTGTCGAGCATTTTTTTCACTCTCGCAAGTGCCATCGTGACCCAAAACATGTTCAACTACCATTTCTTAGTGCTCGCTTAGAAAAAGAGTATGTATAAACCAGGATGTGTGATGAGGATGTGGGTAAAAAGCAACATGCACCTGATCCCAGGACCGTGGAAGCTTCGGTGCTCCTGCAGCCAACCACCTGACCACCATCGGAGCTGACAAGGTCGTTACTTCCACCTCGATTCTTTGCGGACTCCCCAATCGTCTTCTCCTCCGGCGAGGAATCCCCCGAGCACAGTTCGGCGCGCGAGTTGGGACTGTTGTTTTTCAGTATCATCGATATTATGGTACAAGTGGACCCGCAAGTTTTCTCGGTCTTATCCTCCTCCAGCTCAACGCGCGCGCTCGAGCTCAAATTTTCGACTAGATCCAACTCATCGCGACACTCTGAGTCCAACTCGCCAACGAGTTTGTTCAAATCACCAGCCTTGAATTCGTTCCCCTTAAATTCCTCGGGGGGCTCGATATCGAGAAGCTCCTCGTTAGTGACAATAATCCGGCAGTTAGATACGTTTTCAACGAGTTCTTGCTCAACGAGCATATTTTCTACAACTGGTGATTTCGTTTCTTCCACGGAGACTTTGGCGACTGAAACAACCCTGTCCGGCAGCTCACCGGCGTCAACTCCCTTGGCCTCGGCGTCGTAAAACACGTCCACCTCGTTCTTAACATTTTCCAGTTTGGCATCTGCACTCTGACAATCGCTGACAATCGACATCGAGCTGTCGTCCTCGTTGCAACAACAGCGACCCGAGTGGCCGGTCGCAGCGACGTAAATCGAATCGATGGCCAGGTTGATCTCCTCGCGCTCGTCTTCGGTCAAGCTCGGTAAGCCGTGGGCCACAGCGGCGGGATAGGATTCCTCGGCACTAGCGATACTGCTGGATCTACTTGCTGGCTTCGACGACGGCTCTACTGCGGGCTGGGTTTTGCTACGTGGCTTTGGCACGGGCAGTGCTTTTTCTACGGCCATTTTTATTTCGTTTTCGCCANTTTTTTTTTTTTTTTTTTTTTTTTTTTTTTTTTTTTTTTTTTTTTTTTCTCCTTTTTTTGCTTTGCTTTGAGGACATTTAGAAGGGGAGGGACTCGACGCGACTAGGGGATGAACATTAGCCGAATTACTATTTTTAAGGAATTTTAATATTCGCTAATCATGTTCATTCCCTGTCACGACGTTACTACCATTACTACAATTACCAACGGATAAAACAGTGTTAGTCACAAGTAAATCCATTATCACTTAAAATATTACCAACAACCAGTTTACAAAGCGGTATAACAAAAGCATGCGACTTGTCAAAGTGTTTTACGTGTTGATAAATACTCACGCACCTACTCTACTTGTAATGTACAGTTATCGTGAAGCATGCATATACATAAATCCGTGCATATAAAAAAAAGCTCACACAAGCGTTTCTTCAAGGTCACTTCTCTTTCGAGAGATATGTATGTAATCACACGTATAGCTCAAAGTGTTTTGTTAATCGACGTCGTCCATTAATTGCATGTATATTTTACAAACGGCGTGAATAAATTGTTAGAAACAGTTCGGAGTCTTGTAGAAAAAGTACGATGGTTATTTATAAGAATTAAAATGTAAGAGCAGTCACGTTATCAAAGTACGAAAAATATCGCGAGTGGACATTGTTTTAAATCCTTTACGGAAAGTTAATGAAATTTTAATGGAACAACAAGTAAATCACGTCTTAATCACAAAACAGAGGAATAATACTCATTAGTTTTATGGAAGAAGGGAAAAAAGGAAGCCCTAAAAAGCCCCACAACGTCATCGTCAGCTACGTAAGCTCAGACAAACTCTCCGGCTCTGCTTTCCAGGATCAAATTAAGGTTGTCCAGGAACTTGTTCCAATTCTCATTGGACTCCTCCCGGCTGACCAAACCAGGCGGCGGGGGCTCTAATATGCTCAATTTCACCCCCTCCTTTTTCTCGCTATGGTCGATAATCGGCAACGAGGGCAGCTTGTCGATATCCCCGGGTATCGACTCGTCCATCGGCGCGAGCTGAATATCCTCGGGTTTGGTGGAAATCGCGAATATGTGCAAGTTGCTGAGCGGCGGGGGAGCCGACGAATCCTCATCGTCCACGTCCATCGAGTCAGCACCCAGACTAGACTCGATCGAGTCCTCGTGGCAGTCGACGAGGTTCAAGTTACCGAGTCTCGGGCCTCGCGAGGTGAAACTTTCGAGGTAGCTGAACGAGTCTCGGGGCCCAAACTTGTTAAAGCTGCGCGAGCAGTCAAAATACCGGCTCGGGAAACTCGAGCTGTGCGACTGGTGCCTGCGCAACTTGCAGCGCTCCTCGCACAGGTAGCTACCCGCGTGGCTCCTCAGGGGACTGAACCTACTTTCGAGGATGCCGCACTCCGGCTCTCGAGGCTTCAGGTTCAGATTCGCGATCGTGGGCACTTTGACGAGGATTTTCTTGCTGCCGCGGACGCTAGCCATGCGGCTCTCGAAACCAGGCTGAGTGACGCTGCTGGACTTTTGCAGGGTGGCACTGGTACGAGGGAGAAACGATCGATCGGGGGTAACGAGGGTCTTGGGCTCGCGACACGAAGCCGTGCTCCTGAGCACGGGCCTCGGGAACCTACGCACGTCCTGGAAAGCAGACTCGGAGCCGGCGCCTAGGCTAAAGCTGCGTGCCTCTAGCTTACCTCTCTTAACTACTCTAGCGGATTCGACTACGGGAGCTGGTGGTGGCTGCTTTGCTTCTGGTTTCGGCTCGGCCATGGGGCGGACGTGGCAGGCGATGTCCGAGCTGGCCTGGCTACTGCCCGTCGCCGCGGCGTCAATGTCCGACGATGGCTTCGAGAGCTCCATGTCCGAGGTCAGTGATTCATCCGAGTCGACGATACGCTCCAGGCCTTGAACCGAGATCGCCGAGGGTAGCGGTCGGGCGATCGGCGGCGGTGGAGCTGCGCGCTTCTTTCGCTGACCTACATCAACACGTTTTTTTTTTTGTTTTTTTTTGTTTTTCTTTATAAAAATAGATCTCTGACAAGTACCACAGTGATGACGTTGTTCTTAGAAATAACGCGGTAGTCCGTCAAACTTACTTGAGTCTGATTCTATACGAGTGTGAGCATTAAGAAGGAGAGAAAAACAACCAACAACTAAGATTACGAAAGGAAGAATGTAGGGTTGAAATGTAAGGTCAGCGTGTCTCACCCGTGGAGCTGAGCGAGGTGTTGCTGATGCCCCGGCTGAGGGTGCCAGCCTGGCTGGATGCCATTGCGAGGTTGCTGAGGCTCTTGCTCGCGTGGGAGGTGTGGGCGAGTTTTCTGGGTGACTCGAGTATGCCCTGCATCCTGCCTCTGCGGGGCAGGGTCTCGGGCATACGTCCACCCGAGCCGTTGTGGTTGATGTTGTCGGGGTTGTCGCTCAGTACCGAGGCTTCGTGGTAGCCCGAGCTGTCGCTGCTGTTGCGGCTGTGGCTGATGACGATCTTCTCGCTGTCGGACGACCTCGTCGACACACCGTTCTCGCTCGCGCTCCTCGCCGACGGCTTCGTTGTTTCCTGCACGTGTGCAAAGTTAATCACTTTTTTCTTTCTCTCATTTTCTTCCTCAAATTTCATTTCATTTTAATGAAACGAGGCTTCAATGATCAAGAAAATGTTGACTAGAATAGTTCCGAGTAAGTAATCTCTTGAAATAAGATTGTACTTTTATTCTGTACATAAAAATGTTCTCTTTAAAAAAAAAAAAAAAAAAACATCAAGTTAAGTGTTGTTGATGTAGGAAAAANTCTCGACCAGTTACGCAGAATTTCCCATCCTCTAGTCTAGTCACGTTTTTTTACTCTAAAAAATCGCCTTAATACCTTTTCCCTTGAGAATTGTAAATTTATTTTATTCATTCTTACGATTGTCCAGGAATTGCTATAGTTGATAATTTTTTTTTTTTTTTTTAATAAATCAGGATTTTCAAAGCTCTATATAACAAAACTTTGTTAAGTTAAGTGTTGTTGATGTAGGAAAAAGTATGAAAAATTTTAAAAGAAAACGGTCCCTGTGTTACGCGATCCTCAATCGTTCAAAACAAAATCTGAAGGATACTCTAAATGAAGCAAAAGTCAGTCATGTGCAAAGAAAAAAAAAAAAAAAAAAAAAAAAGAAAACAAACCTGCGTCTGTTTCCGCTGATCCGTGGGCGGCTTAGGCGCGGGTCTGCGCTTCCTGAGGGGCCTCGCGGGCACCGGAGCCGGGGTCGCGAACTGTTGCTTACTCGCCGACTGCTGCCGCTGCACGGGACTCGAGCTCCGGGCCGTCTCGTCACTCCTGGCCGGCGAGACGCTCCTGTTGCCGAGGCTGTCGGTGCTCAACGAGCTCTCCTTCGACCTCTTGAACATGAAACTGAAGACCCCGTGGTGGCGCGAGTGCTGCTGCTGCCTACGGCACTCCTCCTGCCGCTGGAAGGCCATTATGTCCTGGCTGCTGAGAGTTCGCGTGGACTGGCGCGGGTACAGGTTCACCTCCTGGATCTGGTAGTCTTGCAGGCTCAGGCCCAGGTCCAGCGTCTCCGAGATGTTTACTGTTGTTGTTTCGTTAATCAATTGAGGACAAACTCGATTCTTTTTTTTTTTTTTTTTTTCTCCACAGATCGGTATGCGAATAATTCGCGGGCTCGACAGACAGAGACATACATATACAAATACGAGTTATTCGGGTTTACCGGCTCTCGTGTACGGGTGTGTGTGTGTGTGTGTATGGGCTTGCGAATCGCTCGATCAAAACTCACGCGACCGGTATAACGCAAAGGCGACTCTTTTTTTCTTTTTTTCTTGGACGACGGAGCCCAAAAAAGTAAATCCGAGAGTCCATCTCCGTATAGTGTAAAAAAAAAAAAAAAAAAAAAAAAAAAAAAAATGGTTCTCGAGAAAATCTGATCTTGTTCCGCTCGGCAGGGCTGCCGTCGCGACGCAGGGCTTCGCGAAGCCCCACCGCGCGCCCTCCTATATAAGCATCGCGACCGCATAGTTTGCGAGATTTACCGGCGAGTATATATAAATACCCGCGATGATGGTGATGGGAGCGCGAGCATCGGCTAATCTCGTGCACAGGGTGCTGCACGTAGATTGTCGTTGTTGGAATTTTTTCAATAAACATTGTTAAAAATCATCACACGCGCGTAATGAGCCATTAAAAAATTTCCCCGCCAACCGATGAGAAAAGAAGTTCGGTGTAACGAGCCACGTAATAAACAACCAACGTAATAGCTGCAGAGTCGGTGTATGTATATATATATATGCGAGATGGATACAATATATATACATGCACGGGGATCGCAGCAGTGCATGCCTTTCTCTCATTTTTACACGCGCCGCCGACTACTGTCGTATGCACACGAATATACCCTGCGCGCACAAGTAAATCTCGAGCCAATGCCGATGGCATAATAAGCGTCCGATGGGAGTGCGCGCGAGGAGGCAAAGTTTTCCGCGAGATGCTATCGCTGCGCGCTCTCCCGGTGAGTTTTCAGCCGGCCGGCCGGCGCTTTTTCCCGCTCGTGTATATAATATATGTATATGCCCGTACGGAATGTCAATTTTTTTTTCTTCCCTCCCCCCTCGAGTCGGAGACAGACGGGGACGCGGATTCGAATTTTAAATCGAGAGTCAATTAAGCGATGCAAATTTTGTTCCTTTTTTTTTTTCCAAGCGAGTGGATTTGGTTGAGACAACGAAAATAGCTCGAAATTCAGGATCTGCATGAGGGTCGAATGGGCCTATTAAAACAAGAACAGACCCGGGCGTCTCCGTTGATTGTCAAACAATAAACCAGAGCGATCCATCCGTCAGTCCTTCATTGCAAGGCGTTTCCGCAACCGGAGGAATCTAATCTCCATCGCGCGCGTGCAAGGATCCTCAATTAGAGCCTTTTCCCCTCGGCTCTAATTAGCGCGAATATACGTGTGTGCGTGTGTCTCGAATGGCGCAACACAAGGTTGTCCGTGTATGTGTGTATACTTGCATTACGCGAACCGTAAGGTATTATGTGTACACGCCGTGTATACGTATACACTCCTGCGGTTGGGAAGTTTTTAAGATTTATGGAGAGAGTCTGCCGTGTAAGTATGCAATGCATGGCTTGGCGCAATAATAAGCAACGAAATTTCGCGTCTGGATCCCTGCAGCGGATCGAACGGCTACTTTTTTTTTGTCCATTCATTTCGTCGAATATCCTCTACACTACGGATTTCGAAATTGGTACGCGGACAGGGGAGATATGGACCTTATAGAGCATCAACCTATCAATCATCAATCATCTCGGCACACATCATATGTACATACAAAGCAACATCGCATCGTTTATTTAAAACTCGAGAACTCGCATCGCGTGCCCAATACTCTTTAAATTTACTGTACACATATAGGTGTAACAGCATAAAAAAAAAAAAAAAAAAAATCGGGGCGAAGTCGTTGCAGCACCGCGGCTATGCGCGGCGCTTGCAAAACTCTCGCCTCTACACATATAGATCCGCGGGAGAACACCTTTTTTTTCCCCTCACAAAAGTCCTCTTGCCTTTTTCGGAAAAACCAATCGATCGGAATGTCACGGAGCCGGCCGCATGGGTAGATTTCTCGGGCTTCTGCTGCGCAACTCGTGGGACGTGTATATTTTTTGCCCCCCCCCCCCTTCTGTAAACGGCTAATTTGACGTTTTTCGGCTATTAGCATTTTCGACGAATAGATCGGGTTTGTCCGCTTTTTTTCCACGCCACACGCGTCGATCCATCCAAAAGACAGTTTCGGCTTTGATTTACGGTAACACGTCTCGATTATGTCCGAACCGATTTGATTTATCCCTGAGAAAAAACACTCCGTTGATTTGTTTTGCAACGTTTTCCAACAACTGGACGGAGGTATACCGATTTCTCCGTGCGCCGGTGCACAAGATCGGCTTCCTCCTCTTGTTTATCATTTAAAAGCGCATACATATATACATGCATACGTGTGTAATTCAATCGAGGCACGTATGGTCACGCGAGTCGAGGAAACGGGGCGCGAGAGAAAGAGAGATTTCTAATTACACACCTGTTTACTTAAATCAAGCGCGTCGGCTCTCCCCGACTCGACGTAAAATATTTACAACGCCACGAGCGCGTGTGATGATTTACCGGCCAGTGTTTTTGTTGCTGTTGCTACTTGAGTATGTGGCGATGCACCGGAGAATCGGTCGGATTGAATATTCATGTCGGCAAAACAAAGAATTAAACAAATCTGGGTGGGGTGGGGGAAGAGAAAGGCCTTTTGTGCGCGCGATCGGTAATAATGATCGGTAAGATGCAGTTAGCCCGGAGCGCGTGGGGAGAGGAGTGGTTGTTGATGATACGCGCGATTTCTCACCTGGATGTCGAAGCTCGTACTTGTTCCGGTCCAGATTTTTCTCGCGACACACTTCGTCCAGGATCTCACCCAGGTTCGTTTTTGGGCTCACTCGCGACACGTACAGCTGATTCCTCGGCAGATGCACCTGAAACAATTGCATTTTTTTTTTATCTCTTATCATCAACTTACGCAAAACTCTGACCCGAATTATAAGAAGAAAAATATTGTTAATTTAATTTTGAATCAGAGTTTTGATGAGCAGTTCGTTCCGTAGTGTAAGTGTGTGCAGATCATTTAGAAAAATGCCAAATGAGAAACGTAGTGCGTCGGAGGAGTTCGAATAGCTTACCTGTAATCTGAAAGTCGTTTCGAAGGGTTGATTGGGCTGTCGGTTCTTGCGCGAAAGAAAAGTGCCTTGCTTCGGTAGCAATTTCACCTGCAACATAGTAAACGGATGGATGCATCATTAGTACTTTTGTCAGATAAAATTGGAAATTTGAAAGTATGCAATCTCTAGCCAATTTTCATCTTTTCCTCTGTTTCCATCGTCTTTATACTCCATAGAGGTCCCGATAGACGGACTTGTAACGTTTAATGGTCGGCCCATCGTTACCCTACACGCCTCTTTTACTTGACATAAAGATGATTGGTTCCTCGTAATGTTTTTCTCGACCAGTTACGCAGAATTTCCCATCCTCTAGTCTAGTCACGTTTTTTTACTCTAAAAAATCGCCTTAATACCTTTTCCCTTGAGAATTGTAAATTTATTTTATTCATTCTTACGATTGTCCAGGAATTGCTATAGTTGATAATTTTTTTTTTTTTTTTAATAAATCAGGATTTTCAAAGCTCTATATAACAAAACTTTGTTTGATTGTATCTTTTGAAAATCAATTTAATAATTTGTCATATGGTAAAAAGCCTAAACTAAAACTCGTGTATACCCATAGTGTGCAATTTTGGTGTAACACCACATATACTTTCAAAACGTTAAATGTCAAGGTAAAAAATAGTAATTTTTAAAACCCTCGCCACTAAATGATATGGAGATTCAACATTGTCACAAGGGGAGCATAAAAAGAATTTTCGCCTTAATCAGAGCACTCGTCATCGGCTTCGCGAATCATTATCAACCAACATAACGGCTCGCGCAAGCACAGTACATGACTGTCACTCCCGTGGCGTGCGAAATCGGCCGAACGCATTTGGAGAGTCATTGGGCTTCCAACAGAGAGAGGGAGAGACACACTTTTTTTTTTCCGAAGGATTAAGGTGGGCTGAAGTGATTTTGTTTCTTCTCCTCCCAATCGTATATGATATACCGTAGCGTCATTGCTCCGGATTAATTGATTATCCGTTTCGGCGTCGAGGCTCCGAAAATTAATAGCTCCCCGTGTGTCGGACGGTTGCGGCGAAAGTCGCGCGAGTCGTGATCTCTTCGACTCGAATCTCTCGAGCACCAGAGGATGCAACGCACCCATCTCCGACCCCACCACCGCTCCATGATGCTGGGTCGTATACTAACAAAGCGGCACTGTCATTATCTTCTTTTATTCACATACGCATGTACGTTACGAGCTGCTTCGCGGAAAGGAAGCTTTGAGTTATTTATACCGCGAAAACTCCCGGGAAACGAGAGACTCGTGAAATAAAAAGAATCATTGTATCCCGGAGAGCTTGTCGTATTATACGTTTCAGAGTCTCCGCTTTCTTCAGCCACGGGTAATTTGATTTTCCACAACGAAACTTCTGTCTGTATGTCCGGTGTTGCTTATTCTTGTGTGAATACGCGAGCTTTCACCAAAGACTACTTGTACGACACAAAGGAGGCGACAAAAATCGGGAGCTATACTTTATATACTAGCTTTGCAAACCTATATACGTGTACGCGCTCGTCCGCGCCAACTGAGACGTTCATCGGCGAATTTAATTCGCGACTCGTCCGGATGAAAAAAGCCTCCAACGGTAAGTGTATATATATATATACGCGTATATATATAAAAAGTGCTCGAGCACGACACACGCCGCGTACATATGCACTCCCTGTTATCCCCGGCCGCTGCGAGCGCAATCTCTCGATCTTATCCACGACGATGCGAGGCGTGTCGTCCCTCTCCTACGGTATATACAGGTGAGTTTTACGCCGCGACACACCGGCCATAGTCCTCGGGGCTGTCACTCCGCGGATAGCCATCGCGCTCCAAGTGGTTGGGCCGAGTAATAAACGGATTCCTCGGTGACGTGAGTGATGGCCGGGGATACGCGAGGAGGAGCTTTTCCGGGTCTCGACGGATGGTAGGAATGCACGCGGCTCTAAAGGGCTTTGAAGAGATAAACGATCGGCTCGCGATTACGGGGGGGGGGCTTTATCATCCGCTCGCTGGCTTGGGCTCGAGCTTTTCAAGGTTGGGTGCAGGAAGTGGTATTTAAATACTTCTCGTCAAAGCGCGCATATCATATGGACAACAAACGCAAAAGTCTGTGTATATAGTACAGAAAAATATATAGAATATATCGATGCAAATATTTTACACCGCGGGTGCAAAATAAAAGACAATCCCTGCATTTGCATGGGTGTACATAAATATATGTATAATGGATGGTTGTATATTGTAGTGAAGCTCGTAAAGGACACAGCTCACCTGTAGGGCATCGAGGGCGCCGATCGGTGTGTTGGGCTGATGAGGCAGTACGAGTCCCCGTTCGCCGATCGCCTGGAGGGTGTAGCTCGAGGCCGCCAATTTGTGCGCGGTGGCTATCTGCACGAGAAGGTCCATCATCGGTGTGCTGGAAGAACAAGAACACGTGTATACGCGATATCCAAGCGCATCGCACAACGTTAGAGAAGAAACGCGATTATATTTTTCTTCCTTTTATCTCTTTTGGTTGTACGGGTACTTCGATAACTACAGCGTGTTGTGATGCATGCCGATGTTTCTTGTCCCCCAGGAAAACTTGCCTTTCCTCCCTACCCTACATATATACACACATATATATATATATATTTAGGTAAGAGGGATGGAGTAACCGAGCTGGGATTATTATGTAATTTGCGAGTAAAGCGTTTAATGGCTAAAAGAAAAATGTCCCTACTCTCTTACACGTATATCTCTGGACTGCGCGGAATTTAACGAAGGTATATTATATTATACCCCTTTCGTCAGCACCAATACATGCATGTATATATATGTATGTACTCTCCTTAGGCAGAACTCGGTACACACACAGTCTCGCCCTGGGGTGGAAATTTTCAAGCTTTGTAACGACACGATAAATCTGCTGTTTCGAGTCGCGAGCTGCATCCGACGGTGGCTTACGCGTACTCCCACGCGCCTCCTCCCCGTATAATATATGCAGTCGTATGAGTAACGATTTGATGCTCTCTCGCTGTGTTTCATGCATCAACAACGACAATCGGTGTGGAGGCTCGGGTTCCTATATGCTCGTATAGCCGCAATGTTGCACGGCAAAAGGACAAACGCGCGTGAGTTGATTTCGATCGGTCCATTGTTTTCATTACGCGGATGTGACAGGCAGATATTACGTAGTGGTACCTATGTGTAATTTGTCGGTTTCCACAAGAAATCTATGGTAATATACATATTTTTATATTTATAATAAAGTATACATTTTCTACTCTATGGGTATTTGTTTTTGCGTGACTTTATTCCTACACACCGTAACGATTGCCGAAAAAAAAAATATATGTATATATATGTGTAGATTTGATCGTTAAAGCGTGCATACTTATTGTACGTCGTAGTGTTGGATTTTTTTTTTGATTGAATATTATTTCTTGCTATTTTTTTTTTAAATAAATGAAAAAACAAGGTATACCAGCGCTACAATGGACCTTTTTTTTTTACAAAATGTCTGACTAAACGCGGAACTATACTCGAAAATAAGAGGGACAAAAATATAATTAACTTTCCATCGCGTTGATTAACATACATTATACTTACGACGTACAATGCACATTATCTCGAGTCTGAGCACAAAAGACACGTGATCTCGTTAAAATTCCAATAACCCATGAACAAAAGAATCGCTTCGATTTCTCGGGGCTACGTGCGATGTCTAACACGTATAGAAAGGGAATTGCGTTTCTCCGCTTCGAGGCAGAGTTGCACGCGAGTATTTATTATAATATCGACTTCCGACATGGCGGAAACACCATTTCGCGCCTTTCTTCCTGATACATCACCTCCACCGAGTAGATTCTCGCTTCGTTTAATGTGACGATTATACGAAAGGCGCAAAAGTGGAGAGATCTTTTTTGCTCTTATGAGCATGGCATAAGTGCTGTGCTTACGTATCGCGTGCGAGAAAAAAAATACTGTCGAGCACAAATTTTTGGATACTTATAAACTCCGTGCATTCGAAAGACGAAGGATAACAAAAAAGGGGCTCGACAAAATAATGGACGTTTTATTTTAGATAAAATCAATGCTTGGAAAATACACGCTGACTCCAATTCAATGTCTATTACCGATTTCGATACCTTTTGAAAATGAATTGATGCATCACTAATATACTAGGAAAAAAAAAAAAAAAAAAAAAAAAAACAGTCGTAACTATTGAAGGATCCAGATTCATCTTTTCCCATATTTTTGAGATTGTATATGCAGTTTCCTTATGGTAATATCTTTGTTTTCGACTCCTTTTTTCGCCATGCATTTGCGGTTATAAGCATGAAAAAGGCCACGAAATAGGCAAAGGTACATATTTGAAACGCCGATAATTATTGTAACAACTGCTATACCGACTGCTACTTTTGAGGGCCCGTCAGTGATGGCGCGGAAACATCGAAACTGTAACGCTAAACTCCTGCTTCCTTTGCGTTGCTTCCAAGAAACACATCAAGAAAATAAGGGAACGGCCGGACCGTGTTCCATTTCCTCGCTCGCGCCCTGATGCAGCGAACCGGCGCGCGAGAGAAAATTCCGCGGCGAAAAACGTCATGCTCTTCACTGGACTCCATTCCACCCGAAGAGGGAGAAAGGTACACTTATATGTTACGAATCATCGAAGGCCAGTGCCCTGTTGCATTTTCATGCATGTATTTTTTTTTGCGCAAATTGAGGAATCACGCAAACTTAATCATTGGGTATTGTTATCTTGTACACGCGTTTCTTTATTATCAAATTAACCAGCTAATTGTAGTGCGCTTGGTTTCGCCCGATCACAAGGGCTGAGCAACACGAGGAGAAGGCAATCATGTTAATTAATGCGCGTTTTTTCATCCCGATTTGCATGAGAGTTTCAGTCAACTCGGAGGAAACAACCAACATTATTAAGACGATGATTATTTTGTTTCCCCCCAGAATATATTTAATATTACGTTTTAAAAACTACGAGCTCCGAATTCTTCCGACAGAAACGTATGGCTCAATCGTCGCGAATTTCTATACGCATACGTACACATCCATTAACTCTTGGAGAAGTAACGAAGAAAACAAATTAGAGGCGATAATTCCGGTGTTCGACACGCGAATAGATCAACCCGAGCCGAGGAGAAACACACGTGGCTCGTGGCGAAAATCGCGGCTCCGACGTGCCGGGCTGAAAAAGCTCATCGTCCTTCGAGCGAAGAGAAAAAAAAAAAAAAGGCCGATCGATCTCGCGCTGCGGGTGTGTGGGTCTACAGGTGCCTAACACACTCTTGGCAAATTTCACCCGACGCGCTCGCCAATCACCGCCACGAGGCGCCACGTTCGTGTGTAGAAAGTTGTGCGCGAGCAATCAATTTTTTTGGGGTCTCGATCGGTCGTCGATTTTTTTCCTTTTGCGCTTCTCGCGGTCAAGATCGATCGATCGGCGGGAGGGAAAAAGCTGCCTCGCAATAAACAAATGGAGTTTCTCCCGAGGGTAAAAAAATTACTCGTTTGTTCTCTCGGGGATGCATGTAATTTTATCCCGAAAAAAAAAAAAAAAAATTATTAATAAAAACTCTATCGGATCTACAACTTTGCTCTGCCGCTGCGCCTTATCGTGTCCAACTATCGGTGCAATTATACGAGTATTATAGTAAAATCGTCCGAAAAAATTTACAAGAGAGAAAGTACAACTAACATAATGAGGCGGGATTTCAATACGTGCCTCTCGAAAGTATAAATATATGCACGCATGTTTGGCGAACAAACGGCTCCAAGGAGCATAGATTTTTCAAACTTTCGATTATTCCTCCCACTCGATCTCTATGCGCCCTTCGATACATCGACAACAGTACAGCAGCACTGTATGAGCACAATAACACTAAAAATGTTAATTGCAAGCAGCGCAGTAAGAGCTTGTTAATTATTCATAGGGGAAAAGGGTAATGGACGCTGGTGCTGTCGGGAGATTGGAATCGATGGCATTTAATCACAAAAAAAAAAAAAAAAAAAAAAAAAAGATGTAACGCAAGCGGGAGCGCGTAGCAAGATTAGTACAACATTCCGGTATCGCAGCCGCGGCCTCCCTGCATATCAATTAAATTTTCGTTTCCGCGGCGCGTAATAAGTCTATAGGGAGACATATATATGTATATATATAGGGGCTTCATCGGCGTCTTGGTCGTCACGCGGAACTGCGCGTGCAAGCGCGTCCCTTTTCCACCTCCTCCTCTCTAAGCTATACCTACAGATGGATGAGATATGGGTGTAGCTTCTACTTTTCCTCTCTTCCTACACTTACGTTGATGCGGAGGATATAATATCTTAAAAGCTCATCGGCCGCATGTGACCCAAACAGTCGCTTTCTGCCCGCGAGCGTGTACGTCACTACACAGCGATGTCCACGGTAAATTAATGAGCATATATAGGGATGCTACGGGTGTTTTCTCTAAAAGGAAGAGATTTTGTCGACACGGGGGTTTGATTACAAATGTTTAATGAGCATGGGCTATACTTGTGGTTGGGATGATTTTTCAATAAAAAAAAAGAAAAAAAAAAACGGTTTTCTTACCTGCGTTGGACGGTCACCCTGTGCGTCTGGAGGTACTGGTCGCGAGGTATTTGCACGAGCAGCTCCATGCTTCCGGCCAACATGTCCGCGGGAGTGTCCTCCGTCACGGTGAGGACCATGGCAGAGGAGGGTCTTTCCTCTCTCGCTCTGCAACAGACAAACGATATCCATGAGCTACTACATTTTTGTAATCGAGTCACACAACTCATTCTGACGAGCTGATCGTTATTCTTATGAATTTCAAATTTGAAAAAATATACCCTCTTTGCTCCGAATGAGCAGCTAAATGACGTTTGAAAAAAGGGGTTCAAGGGTTGAGTGGAAAAAATAAAATAACAACGAGGTGAAGATCAAAATCGACCGATTTATCATTGTTCAGTTGTAAATATTTATTCCGCTCTTTCCGTCCGACCACGAGGCACAAGTATTAAACAAACGCGCATCTTTAGATGACGCGCTCGTCAAACAGATAATAACTTGTAACAACAAAATATCCTCAATCTCGGATAGACTATTTTAATCCATAAGTAATAATAAAGGTGCTCTCATCCGTATCATTCATATACACTGGTGCACATAACGGGCTCTCGGTATACATACATATATCTACAGCTAATTCTTCAATTTTGATAATCATAAGAAGGATGTATATAACAAAAGTTGCATTGACCGAAAAAAAAAAGAGCAATCCGAAAAACCTGGGATGTATTAATTAATACGACCCCATGCAGCTGAGACAGACTCCTGTAAGAGCACGGTCTTGTTATCGCACGACGTAAGTTATATACAGGCCATATATGACGTGCGGCTAAGTATATATATATGAACGAGACAACGGAGCGTCGTCCGTAAGAAAAAGCTGTCTGTAACAGCAGCCCGCACGTCGGATGAGAATCTGATGGCCTCTCTCTCTCTCTCTCTGCAGTATTCCTACGCGTATATATCTAGATGTACATCACAGCAGTATAGGTATACCAAACCGTAGGTACGTGGCATTTACGGCGGAATAAATGAAAGGCATGTAAGTATACACGTGGAGGGAGCACGAGTACTATAGTGCAGACTTGAGAACATGGCTAAACGCAAGAAAACACTTTCCAAAATCTCATTAAAAGAGCGGGTACCTGTATATCTATTGTAATATTACACCAATTAAATACCGAAAGAGCTAATTTATTAAGCGGATCGGAGTTTTTTTTTTTTTTTTTTTTCTTCCAAGCCCAATGCTTAGCGTTAAACGCATATTATGTACACACGAGAGCTAAACATGCATGTACCACAGCCCCATCTCATTAAATCATCCGAGTCAAAGGCTTCATTTCGTTAGAAAGTCCTCGCAGTGTATGATATATACCTGCACTGTCCAGCAGTAAATTACACGCATTTCTTTTTCATTATTCATCGGAGGACAATTAGAAGAACTTTCTACGCAATAACTTTTTCCTCGCACGGAGGAAGTGGGGGGGGGAGGGGGGTGCAGGGATTGGGAAATAAGGAAAATTCAACTCGACGCGGCGAGTGAGGAAAGAGGCTCGTTGTGGTGTTGAGAGCCGCGGTGTATAGCAAAGGAAATGAAATATGCCAGTGCTGACACGGAAGGATTGTTCCCTTTGAAGCCGGCACATGTGGGCGAGCCACAACAAGCGCCGCCGGCAATTTTTATTCCGCGGGACCAAAGGCTCTCTCTCTCTCTCTCTTTGATGGTGAGCGCGAAACAGTAGGTTGGCACCTACGTGTTTGTATATGAGCATAGAAGCGCGAGCGCGTTATTTATCATTCATCGAGGAAAAGAAGAGGACTTTGGCGCGAAATGATTATGAAAAAAAAAAAAAAAATCATCGCAAGCTCTGAACGCGGTCACTCGTATTGAGCGCCCGATTGGTTTTTGACCAAAAGAAATTACGACCGGGACTATATAACAGCTATATAACTTGACAGCGCGCTCGTGCCAAACAGTACCGCTACCGCTTACTGTCCTTAATACACTCTCGTTTCAATGGGATCATGAAAATTTTTAAAAATAAAAAGTGTCAGCTACTGCGGACAAAAAAAAATATTTTTAAAAAAACGAGCGATTGTATGTAAGATCAGTGCGAAAAAAAAGAAAAAGACGGACGAAGAGGAAGGTTTTTATTTTTTCACGAGCACGTATACGCCCACGTACACGAGAGCGGGAATGAATGAGCGGTGCTCCTCCTCCTGCATGTACTGCGTGCATGAAATAAAAAACGGCATCAGAGTCGAGTTGCGCAACGGTAGCCCACCTTCCCCTGCAACAGTTACGCAAAGTCGAACGAGAACGACAGCCGGCGATGCTCGATACTTTTCGCTGCTAATCAAGGACCCTCTTGCCGAAACGCCTCATCTATATCTCCACCCCTTTTTTTTTCCTCCATCCATATGCAGTATCTACACAACGACTCACTGCAAGTACCAATTTGCTTTCGTTCGCGATTTGCTTGCGCGCCTTTCTTCCAAAAGACTCTCGGCGCGTAAGCCCGTCCCCATTGGCGTTTCATCGGGCGATGGGAAAAAGAAACGAGCGAGCGATCGGTATTTTTTTCTCAAGAGCTGCTCTCTTTGCCACACTTATACATATACATCGGCAGTAGTCCCCTGTCGCACCTGAAAGCAATTTGGCAAATACACGCGGGTTTCTATACGTATATACCTAATATTCACGCAATCGCGCAGATGAGAATGTAATATACACACACGATTCGGTAGAGAGTTTTTTTAATGGCGATCCTACCGTAACGATGATCCCGAACGCCTTTCAGTAGTGATTCCATCGGCGGAGGTACATCAAGGAACACGGGTTGCAATACATCCAGAGGTGATGGGTTGCACAATCGAAAACGAAAATTTACCGATCATCGCGCATAACGCGTAGTTATATAGTATACGTCAGCGCGTGATGGCTTTACCGGGACGAACAGACAAGTTATACATAAATACGGTCGTGCGTGCATATTACGCGTATATCGCATATAGTGGCGAGAGCACAAACCCATATATATACATGTCTCCAATCACATAATCACTTTTGTATTATGGATGTATACCGATCGCGTGGTACATGATCGTTTCATCGAGGAGGTGAAAAATCGGCGAAAGCCGAGTGACTGGCATCATCATTTTTGTTTTATTTTATTATTTATTTCGATACATCGGTAACCTTTATCAGTAAACCTCGAGATGAAGGTTTATTCTTACTATCACTGAGCAACCCAATTCTTTGAATTAAAGAAAATTTCTTTACCCTCATTCCATTAAATATTTTCTTTTAATTATTACAAATTTAGTCGATCCAAAAAAATCTTTCGTACAACCAAATGATAAATTCGTAATTAAAAAAAGAAAATTTTAATTTAATAAAATATTATTTTCAATTAACTTGTATTTTTTTACTCATAAGAAAATATTTAACGGAATGAGGGTAAAGAAATTTTCTTTGATTCAAAGAATTGGGTCGCTCAGTGATAACAAGAAAGCCGAAACTGCATGTATATACGGCGCCTTCACGTCGACAACTTGTACAACAATATCATTGTACCATTGGCAAAAAGTAGTCGAATCACCATAGTATCGACCGAAAGAACATATTCATCCAATCACTAATCGCTATGGTATAGCCACATCTACGCGCGTACATAAAAAAAAATAAAAACGCGCACGAAGCGAGTCCAATGATCTGAACCACTTCAATAAACTCATATAAAATCGAACGCGCGCGCGCGAGGTAATCAAAACCACTTGGCAATCGTATAATACTCCCGTTGATTGTCGGGTCGTTATACTGGCTCGCGACGATTATTCAAGGGAGACTCGCTGTATATACATCCATGTGTATCCGATGATGGACAAATATATGTCACGAAGCAAGTGGTGGTGTGATTGCGGCCTGGCGCGCCAATCATCGGCGACGCGTCCGCGTGTTTCCTCGAAATCAATACGCCAGCGAACGCCAGCCAGAGAAATACAATTGAAAAACGACCCCACTAGGCCCATATACCGGTGTCGCATTTATATTCTTATCACCCGTTTTTTTCAAACTCGATGATCTCTCTATGGGGGGCGGCTCGCGATCAAGGGAGTCGAGTTGCGTTTTCAGCTCTATCGATAACTACAAGTGCATCAGGTGGGTATTTATCCTCCACTTGTCCGCGAGCCATAGCGATCCATCAAAGAATGGGTGTTCCCCGTGTGCTATAAATACACTTAGAAAGTCCGTCCGCGTGGGACTGGTCAGTTGTTGCTTTTGTATATACGTAAGGGTCTCTCCCACTGGCCTTCCTTTGATCGATTGCTCGCGTGTGTTTTGACGACGCGAGTGCAACACCGATTCGCAGTGGATGACTTTCCCGGATAAGGGAGAGCTCGTTTTTCACGGAGGAGCTTTTACTCATTTGTAATTTTAATAAGCCAAAGGGGGGTGGGGAAGGCTTTCTTTGAACTATTTTCGATCAGCGGAGCGTGGGAAAGCATATATATATATGGGCAGTGGAGCTGGTGTCGAGGCTACGAAAAAAAAAAAATCTTTCTGGCCAACGACGAGGACAGCGATGACGAAGAAGTGGACTCTCCGCGTTGATATTATCCGATTGCATCGAGCAGCGCCGCAAAGTCCCCATTGTGCGCCACTTGAGTTCATACACGACGCGCATTGTGTACATATACTATTATGGTCCGTGTGCGTGTGTGCTTTTTCAATTAATTTTTTCAAACACCGACACACACGAACTTATCCAGCTAAGGATTTATCGCGCGCAAATTGAACTCGATCGCTTTAAAATTCTCGGAGAGAGCTCCCTGATAATACACGTACACCTGTATACCAACAACCATACCTATACGATCGAATTTCTATACGGTCCCTGCACACACTCAATTTTTATCTCGGATATTTCTAAGAGTGTAAGTGTTGGTTATCCGAGCAATATCTTCCTATGTATATTGTGTACTTTTATCATGATCGATATGGATAGGGTAGCTCACATCCAACACGCGATAACGAAATTACAATTCTCGAATGAAACCGAATCATCGTACATATATTTAAAAAAAAAATAAGGTAAGTGCACCCAACAAATCACAATTAAACTTTATTGTGCACAATACATGTATATATTGGGTGGCGGGACACA